CCTCTGCCCCCTCCCTGTGCCCCTCTGCCCTCCCGTTTTTCCAAAAAACTCTGCAGTGGAGACGTCCCCCGACTGACCTGGCCAACTGGCCGGTGGTGCACAGGGTTCACTACTACACAAAATGGAGGCTTTCCCCCTTTGAGGCGAATGGGGTGCCCACACATTACGACAAGTAAGTTTTTCCCCCTGGAACATGCCCCATTTGTGGGCTGTGAACCAAATGGGGACCCCTCTAATTCGCCTGTACCTGTCTTTTCTTGGAGGGATGCAGAGGAAAATGAAGGCTGTGTTGTCTAGTGGTTGGAGCCCTGGACTGAGTGGGGGGGGGGGGGGGGGGAGGGGGGGTGTCTTGAAATTGCCACCTTCCCCAGGCAAAGTACCCTATCCCACACTGGAACCTGCCCTACCACCTCACCTTCAGAGCACCCTTCAGCCTGTCTTCTGCCGGAGCAGCCTGTGTATTGGCGATCCCCCCGCTGCTAGCTTTAAACACCTGGCTAATCCTTACGGCTTTATGTAGCACAGTGATATCGTGGGGTGATTGAGTTAGCATTTCGACTGCCTTAGGCTGATTGAGCCAGCTCAGGGAGCGTCTGCACTTCAGGGCTTAACTCGAAATCAGCGACACTAATTGAGCTGTGTTACTTATTTCGAAATAACTTTTTTCGAAATTGGGATCATCTGCACAGTACTTATTTCGAAATAAAGCCCTCTTCCCCTGACTTCCCTTACTCCTCGTACAATGAGGGTTACAGGAGTCAGAGTAAGAAATCCTCCAGCTTGACAGTATTTCGACATTATTTCGAAATAACTCCCAGCGGTGTAGCTGCGGACTAAGTTATTTTTACATAACGCTAGTTATGTCAAAATGTTGCTGTGTCAATATAATTTTCTCCTCATCTCTCAGTAATGCAGAGATGTTGATGGGCTGCCAGGAAAACCGGTTTTAAGTTACACTCTGGAAACCTTTCATCTGCAAACCTCCATATTTTTGCTCCAGCCTGAGAATGAAGTCAGAGGATCTGTTGGTTTTTCAAATTAAAAGCCGGATTCTGAGCAGCAACATCCCTTGAGCAGTAATGAAACAGAACACAAAAAGGCCACAAAATCCTTGAAATCATTGCTGGAGACTTTCCTTTTAAAAAATCTCACAAGTTTATTTAAATACAAAGTTCCTGTAAGAAAACACAGCCCCAAATCAATATATTAACAATTGCATCCCCTGTACAGTTCAAAACACAATAATAATGATAATTAGAAGCAGTCTGTAGATTCAGTCAATAGTTTTATGTCATTGCAATATCAGACAGTTGACCATCTTGGAAATATTCAGGTTAAAATCCACCATTTAATAATTCTAAAACATATAGATTTCATTCTCAAGTGCAACTCAGAAATTCATATTTAGTGTATTTCAGTGTGTGTCTGTATATACGGTTTGCCTTTATAATTTTAAAAAAACACCACAGGAATAATAGGTCAGATGTGTACCCCTATGAGTCAGTAAGGTGCCATGTCAGCATGAACTGCTGTCTTTAAAAGTAGATCACTGTTTTTCCTCGGGACCTTTCGTGCAAGACCCCCGTTAGTTTTAATGAATTGCCCTGCAGCATGACAGAGGTCTGTTTCCCCTTGTGCCATGTATGCCAGGTAAACTGAGTCAGGCACCGATCTGCACAAGGCAGGGAAATTGGAGTAAGATCATCCCTGAGGTTCAATGATTCAGCAGGGTGTTCCAATATGTATCATTTACAGCTGAAATACTATAAACATCAAAGTTAGTTAATAGCAGCTTTAAAATGCAACAGTAAGCGCACGGAGCGGATTTGCCGTGGCAAGATCCTTCGCTCTGCTGTGTAAGCATATCGCTGTCACTTCTGTGGGAAGAGGTCCTGGGGGAAAATGAAAAAGGATCTCCTGTCTATGCAGCTGAGTCCATCAGACAGGACTGTGCATGCAAAGCAGATTCGTTACCTTTTGGATTGAGGTTTTTTTTGTACAATTTCCTCCCCCAGAAATTTTTGACCTTAAAAAAAAAATGCAAGCCACAAAACAGGAGCAAGAGGAATGAGGTCCCGGGACAGAGGCAGGCTTGTAAAATGAAGAAAACCAGGATTGATCTGCAAGGTGCGAAGTTTTTTGGCAAAGGCCTCAAAATGGTTGATTCTGAAAGGTGGACAGCCAGGGTTTTGCCCAGAACGCAAGCTGAAAATGGAAGATTTAAGGCCGCTATCCAACAGTGTGGATTATAGGTGGGTTGTAATGGTGTGGGTGGTAGAATGAAAACCAAATTTTGCTTTAACTGTGTGTCAGAGAAGCGCTGGTCCAAGGTTCGTCAAAGGCAGAAGACGGAGGCTGACGATAAATATTGCTCCTTGTGACGATGCTTGCGGTCTACAGGTATGTCTACACAGCAACATTATTTTGAAATAACTAGTGTTGTTTTAAAATAACTTAGCCCACGTCTCCACAGCAGGTAGTTACAGGAGGCTCCACTTGCGACACGATCCATTCCCGGGGAAGCATCGCAAGTTGGGGGCATCGTAACTCAAACCTGCATTTACAATAGGCGCCATGCGCTGTCGTAAATGCAGGCCGAGGACATAAGCTGGGGGGGGGTTGGCCCCTTCCGCACTTACAAAAATGGTTGTAAGTGAGGGGGGTCAGAACTCGAGCAGTCGCATCTCGGGGGCCTCCTGTATTACGAAATAGTGTCAAAATACTGTCAAGCTGGAGGACTTCTTACTCCGACTCCCATAACCCTTGTTGTACGAGGAGTAAGGGAAGTCGGAGGAAGAGGGCTCTATGTCGAAATAACACATATTCCTGCGCATCCAGAAATATAATCTATGCTATCATGTGCCGAAAGTGTCCGTCTGCTATGTACATTGGACAAACATCTCAGACACTTCGCCAAAGGATTAATGCCCACAAAACAGATATCAGACAAGATCACAAAGAGAAAACAGTTTCTTGCCACTTTAACCAGAAAGGACACTCTCTAAATGACTTAGCCACCTGCATTCTGCTACAAAGACCTTTTACATCTGCACTTGAAAGGGAATCCTCTGAACTGTCATTCATGTTAAAATTCGACACTTACCAACAAGGACTTAACAAGTCTTTGAACTTTCTCACCCATTACCAAGACAGTTTCCCCAATTATCACCTGTAATACCATTAACTCACAAACATCCCACTCTCCCTACCTTTAATATCAGCAATTCACAGACACTTACCTTCCTTCCTCCCCCTTCCCACCCCCCCGCATCCCCCTTCTGTTCTGCAATGTGATTTGTCCTTTTCATATTTGTTCATTTTTTTAAATTGTATCCTTTGGTATATATGGTTGTGACTACTTTCTTCCACTATTTGATCTGAGGAAGTGGGTCTGGCCCACGAAAGCTCATCATCTAATAAACCATCTTGTTAGTCTTTAAAGTGCTACATTGTCCTGCATTTTGCTTCAACTACCCCAGGCTAACACGGCTACATTTCTATCACCAATCTGGAGGGGAGCTAGAGCGTTAGTGTGGGAACCTTGAGTCTCGAGGGCCACACTCACGTGAGCTGGGGTAGAGTGTCGCTTATTTCGAGTGAAGCCCTGCTGTGTAGACGCACCCCGCAAGTCCAGGCGCTAGCTGTTGTGTACGTCAAAGAAAGAAAGAAACACTGCCTTGAGACTCAAGCAACATTCTTCCCATTGGAAAGTGAACTCGAAGGCGGGCTCTCCGTTGGCTTCTTCATCTCCTAAAAGTGTTCGGTCGTCAAAGTGCGTGACGATCTCCTCTGGATTGGGAAAGTCAAAGATCACGTGCCACATGCCAGTTCTCCCTTGGATGCAGTCTCATATCTTTCTGAATGTGCTCGTAACATGACTGGGGAAGAAAGGGTAGAACCCGTCAGGAGGAGACAAAATTTGGACAAAATTCTGGTCTTCTGTGTGCCTACTGAGGCCAGAACACCTCTTGATGGAAAACAGAGGGGAGCTGAGTGCTATAAAGTGGCACATTAAACATATTCGCTCCGGAGCTGGTTAACGGGGTAAGGAGAGAGAATTGTTTAACAACCAACAGCTACACACCACATTCATGAGCAGACTGTGTGTGATCCACCAATATCTCCCTGGCTGCAACTACAGCCAGTGACTCCTCTGTTCTAGTCAACAGGCTGACCAGTCAATGCTGTAGGTTAGGGCTACTCAACACGCGGCCCATTTGTTTGCGGCCCGCGGGGCGGTTTGGGTTTACGGGGGACTCAACATGCGGCCCGCAGGTGGGAACCTTTGAATGTGGCCTCCACTGGGAACATGCTCCCCAGCGGTGAGTCAATGTAATGGTCTTCTGTCGATATGTATTTTAGTAGTTCAATTCCTGGACTGTCGTTGCTCATTAAAAGTGCTGTCTTATGGGTGGAAACCAGGTGACTATTGGATTTTGTTCATATCAGCAGAACTGACTTGAATAGGGCCTGCGTGTGGTTTCGTCTTGCCTACATCTTTGTATTCATGCCCGTCAGTGTGATGTGGTTTCGTCTTGCCTTCATCTTTGTATTCATGCCCGTCAGTGTGACAGCAGCTATTTGCATATATTTGCATATCTATTTGCATGTCTATGCAACCACACTTAAGTTGCAGCCCTCAACTGTGTATCACTGTGGCCCCTGGGGCTTCAAAGGTGAGTAGCCCTGATCTAGGAGCATCACTTCCCCACTCCCACCCCCGGATTCCTGCCAAGAAGGAAGGAAGTTCTTTCAGACCCCAATTTTGAAGGGAAAAAAAAGTCATTTAAGACCATTCATGTGAACAGGAACCACCTTAGAATCTGATAAAATAGTTGCTAGTCAGCTGTCCCGCAACTCCTTCCATCAACAGCTCCCTTAAAGTTTCTTCCTCTTTAAGCGAGACTTGCCTGTTACAATCTAATTTCGTTACAAATTCTTGAAACAGCTCAGAACAAAAGAGATGACTAAGGGGGAATATGATCGAGGTCTATACAATCATGACTGATGTGGAGAAATTGAATAAGGAAGTCCTGTTGACTCCTCATAACAAGAATTAAATTCACAAGCAGCAGGTTTAAAATAAACAAAAGGAAGTATTTCTTCCCACAGCTCCCAGTCATCCTGTGGAACTCCTTGCCAGAGGATGTTGTGAAGGCCAAGAATATAACAGGATTCAAAAAAGAACTAGATTGATTCATGGAGGATAGGTCCTTCAATGGATGTTAACCAGGATGGTTAGGAATGATTTCCCTAGCTTCTGTTTGCCAGAAGTTGGGAACGGGTAACGGGATGGATCACTTGATAGTTAGTTACCTGTTCTGTTCATTCCCTCTGGGGCACCTGGTTTGGCTAGTGTCAGAAGACAGGGCAGTGGGCTAGATGGACCTTTGGTCTGTCCCAGTCTGGCTGTTCTTATGTTCTGCCTTACCTCCAGTGCTGTTAGCAGAAAGTCGTACATCCCTCCTTCATTGGTAGGGTCCATCAGATCTCTGATCAGATGTATCTCAGCTCCTAGGTGCTGTATTCTAGAAAACAAAAGTAGTGGCCATCCTTCCAATGACTCCTCATAGAATCATAGAACCATAGAGCTGGAAGAGACCTCAGAAGGTCATCAAGTCCAGCCCCCTGCGCTAGGCAGGACCAATCCCAACTAAATCAACCCGGCCAGGGCTTTGTCAAGCTGAGACTTAAACACCTCTAGGGATGGAGACTCCACTACTTCCCTAGGGAACCCATTCCAGTGCTTCACCACCCTCCTAGTGAAATAGTTTTTCCTAATATCCAACCTGGACCTCTCCCACCACAACTTGAGACCATTGCTCCTTGTTCTGCCATCTGTCACTACTGAGAACAGCCTCTCTCCAGCCTCTTTGGAACCTCCCTTCAGGAAGTTGAAGGCTGCTCTCAAATCCCCCCTCACTCTTCGCTTCTGCAGACTCAACAGACCCAACTCCTTCAGCCTCTCCTCATAGGTCATATGCTCCAGCCCCCTAATCAGACACCAATACCTTGGAATGAGTATGCACCTTCCCTGCCGGCCAGTGATGAGCCAATAAACAGGGCTGGGTGCAAGAACTGGGACAAGAACCCATGTCTAATTCTTAGAGCCAACTCTGTCTGTGACCTTGAGTTAGTGAGGTGAGATTTTTGGATCTGCAAAACACCTAAACTTTTGGATGTTCAGCACCTTCGAACACTGAACGCCTCCACTTCCCCATCTGCATTTGATGGACAATGCTCATTGTTCCCATTTCGGTTGGGGGATGGGCTTGTGAAATGTACGACCCCTTGTTTCTCATCCTAGACCAAAGGATCAGACTCTGAGACCCTCAAAGCATCTTGCTTGTTCTTGGGCAGCACATTAAGGGCCCGCAGCGGAACCAGGAAGCACAGAGGCGTGGAGAGATTGCGCCAGGTAAACCACACCGAAAAGGGCAGCGCCTTCCTTCGTGAATCTGAAGGCTCATTCAGTGCTGATGGGGACAGCACAGTCTGATGGTGTCTCCTGTAAAATTGGGCATTTACGACTGACTTCTATGCCAGGAAAGCTTCATTTCTAGGCATCTGAGTGACACCCACACTCCAAATTCCTTATGGCCATGAATGAGACCCAACACCCCAGCAAGGAAGGAAGCTGGGTCCATTTTACAGACTAGAACAGAGGCCCAGAAAGTGTCTGAGTGGCCAAAGTCACACAGGAACACAGCTTAGTTCTTCCCCTCCCTAGTGGGGAGCCTTAATTACTAGGGATGTAAAATCCTGTTTAATTAGTTAACTGGTTATATGTTAAGTTTAACCAGTTAACTGATTGAATGGGGAGGATGGGCTAGAGCGACCCTCACACCACAGGAGGGGCTACTCCCACCCAGCTGCTTCTGGTCCCACGGAACCAGAGCAGTTCTCTGTCCACGGCAGACTGCAGGCAAGGGGCTGTTCCCAGGTAATGGTCAAATGTTTCCCCGTAAGCGTCACCTGTCCAGGGTGATGCTTATCGGGTAACCGTTCACATCTCTATTAACTACAGCAGCTTTCTTTTAGGCCGCAAGGTTGAGCAGCGGGCCTTTTCCATTTGCGATGCAGAGTGGGAGTTTTCAGGGGCCGACAGAGACTTCATGATTCCAGCTGGCCAAAGCCTTTCTTTTGTCACAAGTTTCCACCCACAAGGGAACAGTTTGAGCAGACTGCCAGTGCCTCATGGGAGTTGTAGTTCAGCTGCTTCCTGCCTCCGTTCTCTTCTATACGTCAGGCTCCCTGGCAGACTACATCTCCCATGATGCACCATGGCATTACCTCTTGGCTGTTCCCCATGAAAAATGTATTCCAGCCAGGAAGCCTTGCCCATGGAGGGTAAGGACATGAGGCAACTGAACTACAGCTCCCATCAGGCACTGCACCTCCAAATCTAAGTTTCAAGGGTTTGGCCATAATACTTCATTTTCCACAGACAATGTTGATTTCCCTCCACTCCCCCTCCTCCCCAGTGAAAAAAAGAGACTTCACAAAATATTTAATCAAACTCCCAAATTTCCATTAAAACACTTTTGGCCAGTCCTTGTTCTAATGGAGCGCACGCAAGAGACACTCAGCTTTATATTAGCTGAAGGCAACGTGAAGCTCTCTCTTACCTCGCCCGTGATACAACATACATCAACAGCGGCAACAGGTCATCCATGGGGAGTTTGTAGTCCCTCTCCGTGACTCGTGACACGGTGCCCTCTATCTCCTCATACGTCTTCTGTAGGATCTCCAACTTCTCCCGGGGGTCCACAGTCGTGCTGCCAAGATAAAGAGACACGCTCTAGTGCTGCCCATCTAAGAGGCGAGAAATGTCAGTCCTCAAAAGCAGAGTGAGAGCGTCTCCGTCTTGGAAGGCAGAAGACCCGTTGCGCTACCTCAGACCAGATGTAGGAGGGCTTCCAAGCTTCAAGATGAGGGAAAGGAGATCCCTCCTCACTATGGCTGCACACAAATAGATCGTGCCTTTCTAGCTCGCAGCATTAATCCCTCACCTAGAGCCCACAGCAATGATTTGTTTTTTTTGTAAAGCTCTTCCTGGGGCTAACACAGATTGACCTCTGATATCCGAACCACCACGTCAGCCAGCCCTCCTTAGTCATCAGTAGGAAGTCACAGAGGGCTACTTACATCAACTTTTGCAGACATTCCGTAGCCGACAGGAAGCATTTGTCTTTGACAAGAGAACGTCTCTGAAAGGAATACGAACGTTTGCGTTAGTGCGTGGGTCGCTCTCGTGGAATGGATCCCCGAGTACGAGACACACAAGGTGGGGAGTCATCGCTTTCATAGTAAATGGCTCGATAGCTTTCATCACCATGTTCTTTTGACAGGTGCGCCACCCCTCCTCCCCCCCCATTTCTAGTTGAGTGCCATGTTGGCGGCCATATTGAAACATGGCGGCCAACAATTACTTCTCGCTTCAACGTCTGCTGGTGAGAAAAACAAGCTATCGAGCCACAGATGTTAGGCTCCAAACAGATATTAGCTCACCCTCTTTTTGTCGCTACCATCGTTTAGGACAGAGGTGGGCAAATACCAGCCCGCGGGCCAGATCCGGTTTCCCAGGGTTAGCCCCTGGCGGGCCGCTGCTGCTATATTTCCCTGTACCACTGCAGGGATAGGCAATTGCAGCTCCTGTTGGCTGCGGATTGCCGTTCCCAGCCAATGGGAGCCACGGAAAGTGGTGTCCACTTCAGGGCTTTGGCCATAATACTTCTTTTTCCATGGACAATGTTGATTTCCCTCCATTCCCCTCCTCCCCAGTGAAGAAAAGAGACTTCACAAAATATTTAATCAAACTCCCAAATTTCTGTTAAAACACTTTGGCTAGTCCTAATTCTAATGGAGCGCGTGCAAGAGATACTCAGCTTTATATAGCCACTTCCCACGGCTCCCATTGGGTAGGAATAACAGCAGTCCACAGCCAATGGGAGTGGCAATCACCCATGCCTGCACAAGTGCAGGTAAATATAGGGGCAGCCCACCAGGGGCTAACCACCGCTGGTTTATTCCCAACCCCGATTTAGGATGTTGGCTAAAGATAGTCGCTTACCCACTTGCTCTGTGCTGGTGCTGTCATTTGGGCAGCTTAGAGTGTCTTTGAAACCCCTTTATTCAGCAATTTCTATGGATTGTCTTTCTTCCCCACGGACATCATCAGCACCAGTTTGTTCACTGATGAAATGCAGCCGCCCATGGAGCAGAGCATTGCAACCTAACCTGAGCCCAGCCCGGCCCAACCTTCTCAGGCTAGGGGCAGCTGATCACCCCCTCCTGCCTCTGAGGCTGGTGACGGCGGAGATCCCCGCTCCCAACAGGCACTGCCCCCCTGCTGCGCTGTGTTCACCGAGGAAGTGGTGCGTCTTGTCTCTGTGGCACACGGTGAAAGATGGCCATAAATGGCAGGAGCCGGTCAGTCGCCAGCCTGACTCCCATGGCAAGGAGGCAGCTGGAGAATGACCATGGGCCCGGGAGCTCCCACTAGGCCAAGTCCCAAAGAGGAGATGGTGGCATTGATAAGGCTGGGTCAGGCAAGTCCCACAGACAACTCTCAGGGTGGCTGTGCTTCGCTCAGGCTTGCGTTCAAGCCGAATTTTCAAATTTGGCCTCTAGATTGGAATACAGATGTTTTGTATCATGCAGCAACCCCATGCACCTATTTAGGACAGGAAGAAAATGGGGGCTCCAGTAGCCACCATAACACCAGCTAGTGAATCCCTGCAATAGCATGGAAGTGACTTGTACTTTTAAGCTAGAGTTTTTACTGAGAATACGGGAAGTCCATTGTTCATAGCCTTTCTGTATCCACGATCTGCTCTTGATATGAGAGTTGTTTGAAACAAACCTAAATACAAAGGCCCAGTTCTTCAGCTGCTGTAATTCTGCATGGCCTCGTTAATTTAAGCGGTTTCACTACCGTTAGCTGAGCTACCCCAGTTTGCTCGGAGGCCTTGTCCACACTAAATGGAAGATCGCTGCTGCTGTGATCTATCTTCTGGAGTTTGATTTAGCGAGTCTAGTGAAGACTTGCTAAATCAAACTCAGAGAGCAAGGAGTAAGTAAAGCTGATAAGAGCATTTGCTCCAGTCAACCTTCCACTGTGCAGATGCATCCAAGCTCGGCTCAAAGTAAGCCAACTCAGATGCGTCCAAGCTCGGCTCAAAGTAAGCCAACTCCAGTTACATATTCTACATAGCTGGCATTGCGTACCTTAAGCCCAAGCTGCCGGGACTAGTGGAGCTGTCCTCAGTTACATATTCTGCATAGCTGGCATTGCATACCTTAAGCCCAAGCTGCCGGGACTAGTGTAGACCTGGCCTGGGGTTCTATCCCAGTATTGCTACTTACCTGGTTGGTCGTTAGGATGAGATCTTTGAGGGGCCATAGGTGCCTGAAATGAGATCAAATAGTATTGATACTTACCTGATTGGTCGTTAGGATGAGATCTTTGAGAGGCCATAGGTGCCTGAAATGAGATCAAAGACAGAGCAGTTGTGATGGCAGATTTTCTAATACATCCTCATGTTAGATCCTAGATTCTCTCTCACCCACTCGCCCTGAGCAAGAGCAAGAGTTTGTGGGACCACAGGCATCAACTCATGAGTTCTCATTCTCTACTCTAGCACTGATTTAGAACCAGAAATGGCTGGGTTAACTGAACCAAAAGATGTGACCCCAGCTTAATAACTCGTGGTAAGAGAGTGGAGAATCAGGCTTATGTCAAAGTGTGTTGGTCCTTTCAATTCTAAGTCACCATTCTCGGTGGCTACGTCTACACTGGCACCCTTTTCTGGAAATGCTTAAAACGGAACAGTTTTCCGTTATGAGCATTTTTGGAAAAAGCACGTCTACATTGGCAGGATGCTTTTCCGGAAAAGCACTTTTTGCGGAAAAGCATCTGTGGCCAATGTAGACGCGCTTTTCCACAAAAAAGCCCGGATCATCATTTTCACGGTCGGGGCTTTTTTGCGGAAAAGGCTATTGTGCTGTCTACACTGGCCCTTTTCCGGAACAGTTTTTCCGGAAAAGGACTTTTGCCCAAACGGGAGCAGCATAGTTTTTCTGGAAAAACAATGACGATTTTACATTAGATCATCATTGATTTTCCGGAAAAGCAAGCGGCTAGTGGACAGCTGGCAAGTTATTCCGGAAAAGCGGCTGCTTTTCCGGAATAAGTGGCCAGTTTAGACACAGCCCTCATGTCCTTGTGGAATCCTTCTGACTTGAAATCAACCATTCACTTGGGAAAGCAACTGGAAGACTGTTGCTAAAAAGAGACACATCCAGAAAGAAGGTTGGACCTCTTTAATCCGGCACTCTCTGGACCAGAAACCTCCGTAGTCTGGCATGATTTTAGTTAGCAAGATGTCCACTTATCATGGATGTGGCCAAGTTTTCCACACTCCAGTACAGTTTGTTTAATGCCACCAGTCCTGGCTCTCAGTGTTCGGTGTGTTTTTTAGCTCTCATTTATGCCAAAAATGTCTTCTAAGAGCCCAGTAATCAGTGGAAGTGCTGGCAAAGCTGCTAGACAATATTGAACTTCCATGGTTTGGCAAATTCTCTGGTCCAGCACCGGCCAGGTCCCGAGGGTGCCGGACTAGAGAGGTTCAACCTGTATTGGCACTAATCATGGATCCACTTGCTTCCTACACCCATCAGAACTTTCTCCAGCTGTTCCAGGAGATTCGTTCAGTGCTACGTTACTCACTTCTGTACATCCAGAAATTCCAGCAGCTTGACATCAGAAAATAAACTCAGGTCCACAATCCCCTGGCAGTAGAGGTCATCTTCCTTCTCATGGTAGAGCATGTACAACATGAAGAGCTCCGGGTAGAAACAGGGCAGGATGAGAGGCAGAATCACTCTGTATGCATTCAGGTCACTGAGGAGGAGAGGAACATAAGAACATAAGAATGGCCGTACTGGGTCAGACCAAAGGCCCATCTAGCCCAGTATCCTGTCTGCCAACAGTGGCCAGCACCAGGTGCCCCAGAGGGAGTGGACCGAAGACAATGATCAAGCAATTTGTCTCATGCCATCCGACTCCAGCCTCTGACAAACAGAGGCCAGGGACAGCATTCCTATCCCCTGGCTAATAGCCTTTTATGGACCTAACCTCCATGAATTTATCTAGCTTCTCTTTAAACTCTGTTATAGTTCTAGTCTTCACAGCCTCCTCTGGCAAGGAGTTCCACAGGTTGACTATGCGCTGTGTGAAGAAGAACTTGCGCTTATTAGTTTTAAACCTGCTACCCATTAATTTAATTTGGTGTCCTCTAGTCCTTATATTATGGGAACTAATGAATAATTTCTTTATTCACCCTCTCCTCACTACTAATGATTTTATATACCTCTATCATATCCCCCCTCAGTCTCCTCTTTTCCAAACTGAAAAGTCCCAGTCGCTTTAACCTCTCTTCATATGGGACCTGTTCCAAACCCCTGAACATTTTAGTTGCTCTTTTCTAAACTTTTTCCAAGGCCAAAATATCTTTTTTGAGGTGAGGAGACCACATCTGTACACAGTACTCAAGAAAGCAAAGATGAGCCCTACTGATGGTCGGCATCCGTCTGTTAAAGGCCATGTCCATACAGGACACAAGGGTAAGTGTCTACATATGGAATCTTAAGGACTTGTCCATCTCTCCCCTCCACTCCCACCTTCCTGGAGTCTAGTTCTGTGATGGGATAAGTTTGTGGCCAATACACAATAAAACATTCGCGGTATTTAAGATCAGGGTCATGACATGTCTGCAGAACATGGACTACTCAGGAAGGAATCGTTCATTGCTTTAACCCCCACATACAGCAATACTCAACCTGGTGACTCATTGTGATCCTGGGAGAGGCTTTCTTTCCTTTATGCGTCACAGTTGTGTCTCCTGAACTCACATCCCACGTCAGCACTAACAGGGCATCTAGTCTCTGAGGGTGCATCTACACACCACCTTAAACTCAAAATAGGATACGCAATTTACGCTATGCAAATTGTGTATCTTATTTCGCATCTATTCCTAAAGAGTTTATTTTGAAATTTCGCACGTCTACATAGTGCCAAATTTCGAAATAAGATGCCATTTCGCCGTGCCTTATCCTTGTGCAACAAGGTTTACCAGGACGGCAAAACAGCATGCCTGTTATTTCCAACAATATTTTGAAATAATGGGTGGCTTGTGTAGACGCGGGGTAGCTATTTTGGGATCCCGAAATACCCGTGCAGTGTAGATGTACCCTACGGTGGGAACCGAGGTGAAAATTTGTTAGAACAGTTTCCCTCAGCTCATCCGCACCAGCGATTTGGCTGTATCATAGCAACTGAAAGCTAGGAAACAGGTCTCCAGGCCTGCTGTTTCTGTGGAAGAGGTGAAACAACCTTGATAGATTTAAAACCAAATGACCATTCGTCTCAGCCACCTTTTCTCTCTGTCTTCTGTCTCCACTGGTGGTTGGCCTTTCTGCTCCAACGCCAGATGAAGTAAACCTCTGCAAAGCAAGTAGGAATGCAGATTTAGCGACTCATTTTCAAAGGTCACTCAGTCGTTTATTAATAAGCATTAGCCACATCCTCTCCTCTTTCCTTTCCCCCAAATGGGCAGGTTTAACAGTGACAGTACTGGGGATGCAAACAGCTTACTTAGTGCACTAGAATCAGTGGATACTTTGTTGAAGGTAGAATGACTTGTTCTGGAGGATTAATTTAGAGCTCTGGATGGGAGGCTCCATGCTTTGCCTAGAAACCTCTGGTGGGAAGGGGTTTAATACTTGAAGACACTTTGTAGGCCTAGTGTCAACTCACAACAGATTACTTGCATTGCAAGCATCCATAAGGAAGCCTCAATATTTCCTAGCCTATAAGAATGGCCAGACTGAGTCAGACTAAAGGTCCATCTAGCCCAGTGTCCTGTCTGCTGACAGTGGCCAGTGCCAGGTTCCCCAGAGGGAGTGAACAGAACAGGGAATAATCACGTGATCCCTCCCCTGTCAGCCATTCCCAGCCTCTGACAAACAGAAGCAAGAGACACCATCCCTACCCATCCAGGCTAATAGTCGTTGATGGACCTAACCTCCATGAATCTATCTAGTTCTTTTTTGAACCCTGTTAAAGTTCTGGTCTTCACAACATCCTCTGGCAAGGAGTTCCACAGGTTGACTGTGCGCTGCATGAAGAAAAACTTTCTTTTGTTTGTTTTAAACCTGCTACCTATTCATTTCATTTGGTGACCCCTAGTTCTCATGTTATGGGAACAAGTACATAACTTTTCCTCATTCACTTTCTCCACACCTATCCATCATGCTTTTATCTAGTTTTTTTTTTGAACCCTGTTAAAGTCTTGGTCTTCACAACATCCTCTGGCAAGGAGTTCTACAGGTTGACAGTGCGCTGCATGAGGAAAAACTTCCTTTTGTTTCTTTTAAACCTGCTACCAATTCTTTTCATTTGGTGACCCCCATTCCAGTTCCTGTTAGAGGGGTTAGTTAGTTGGTTGGCTGCCAGTTAAGCGGGAGCCAGTCAAGCTGGGTTCTTCCTCTCTCACACCACCAGTAAGAAAGGTTCTGAAGAGAAACATAGGCCACGCCGCCATTTTCTGTTCAGTGGGTTCAGCGTCTACACCATATGGAAGATCGACGCTGCTGAGATCGAGATTCGGTGTTCGATTTAGCAGATCTAGTATAGACCTGCTAAATCAAATGCTGAGGGCAGCCCCCGTAGGCATCCAGTCCTCCTCTTTTTGTGAGGAGTAAGGGAAGATGAAAAGAGCCTCCAGCTCTGTGGATGCAATTAAAGATATGCCAGCTCCGGCTACGCCATTAACATAGCTGGAGTTGTGCATCTTAATTCGACTTTTCACTGTAGTGTAGACCAGGACTAACCAACTGGATCTTAGCAAGCCAGTCTGATGATGCCAAAGAAGGAACAGAATCCCGCCTGTTCTGCAAATTGTGTTGGCTCTTACCCATTGCACGGGAGTAAAAGTAATGCCTTTTTGAAGGCCTGAGTGTATATAGATGCACCCTTGAATACAGGAAACATGTCTGTTGACTAAGACAGATTTTTTTCCATCACCACTTTCCAAAGTACAGGTTGAATCTCTCTCGTCCAGGACTCTCTGATCCGGCAACATCCGCGGTTCGGCAGGACCACAGATGTTGCTAGGCCCGAGAGCCCAGCCACAGAGGTCGAGAGAGGCTGGGAGCGGAGGTGGCAGGTGGCAGCTTGCAGGGGCAGTAACCTTGGGGCATGGAACCCCAGGTTCAGCTGCCGTCCCGTGAGGGGTCAGATCAGGGAGCAGAGACCTGGGAGTGGCTGGAGGCAGCAGAGCCAGGCAGGTGGGCCAAAGGAGGTCAGGCCTCTGGATTTTCCTGGAACCCTGGAAAAGCCCTGATGTCTGACCTCCCCAGTCTGGCAAATTCCCTTATTCGGGGCCACTCCAGGACCTTGCAGCTCTTCCTTCAACTATAGTTCATGAGATTTCTTGGGAGCAAATTACCCCCCACCACTCCCATCTGTCTGCTAAAGCATTTCTCACCCTTTCTTCTGAAGTGACTGCAGCTGGCCACTGCCAGTGGTAAGAAATTGTCTAGCTGGACCATGCATCCAATCCAGGCTGGCACATGCTATCTTCCTAGTGCTGGATACGGGCTTACCTAGGTCGTACACTGACCGCCTAAAGAGCGATTCCTATGAAGTTAGCTCCAGGGGAAAGAGGCTGGTTTGGACCAACGGACTAGAAGCAATAATTCGGGGCCCAGCCCTGAAAGGAATAAATTGCTCTGTAGCAGGCGGTTAACATAAGAACATAAGAACGGCCATACTGGGTCAGACCAAAGGTCCATCTAGCCCAGTAGCCTGTCTGCCGACAGTGATCAGCACCCGGTGCCCCAGAGAGGGTGGACCGAAGACAATGATCAAGCGATTTGTCTCCTGATCCCTCTCCAGACTCTGACAAACAGAGGCCAAGGACACCATTTTATCCCCTGGCTAATAGCCTTTTATGGACCTAACCTCCATGACATTATCTAGCTTCTCTTTAAACTCTATTATAGTCCTAGCCTTCACAGCCTCCTCTGGCAAGGAGTTCCACAGGTTGACTACACGCTGTGTGAAGAAGAACTTCCTTTTATTAGTTTTAAACCTGCTACCCATTAATTTCATTTGGTGTCCTCTAGTTCTTCTATTATGGGAACTAATAAATAACTTTTCTTTATCAGCCCTCTCCACACCACTCATGATTTTATAGACCTCTATCATATCCCCCCTCAGTCTCCTCTTTTCTAAACTGAAAAGTCCCAGTCGCTTTAACCTCTCCTCATATGGGACCCGTTCCAAACCCCTAATCATTTTAGTTGCCCTTTTCTGAACCCTTTCCAAGGCCAAAATATCTTTTTTGAGGTGAGGAGACCACATCTGTACACAGTATTCAAGATGTGGGCGTACCATAGTTTTATACAGGGGCAGTAAGATATTCTGGGTCTTATTTTCTATCCCTTTCCTAATAATTCCTAGCATCCTATTTGCCTTTTTGACCGCCGCTGCACTCTGTGTGGAAGTTTTCAGAGAACTGTCCACGATAACTCCAAGATCTCTTTCCTGATTTGTCGTAGCCAAATTAGCCCCCATCATACTGTACGTATAGTTGGGGTTATTTTTCCCGATGTGCATTACTTTACACTTATCCACATTAAATTTCATTTGCCATTTTGTTGCCCAATCACTCAGTTTGGTGAGATCTTCTTGGAGTCCCTCACAGTCTGCTTCTGTCTTGACTATCCTAAACAGTTTGGTATCATCTGCAAACTTTACTACCTCACTGCTTACCCCTTTCTCCAGATCATTTATGAATAAGTTGAAAAGGATGTGCAGGGAAGACTCAAAAGCCTGCAAGACAGCGAGGAAAGTTCCGCATGAGGTCAGGGCAGGATGGCAAGGGGGAGTGCTCCCGCCGGATGTGCAGGAGAGGACCTGCAAAACCAAGCCACAGATTAGCTAGTGACAGTCCAACCTGCAGACAATGAGCCGGTGGCACGTGGTCCAGAGCCAGGGGAATCCCAGAGGGACGTGGCCTCCTTGTGGATGAAGAACCACCCAGCTCAGAGTTTAGACTGCAGGCTTCTTGCGCCAGAGCGTGTCCACGCGGCAAAAGCGCGTCGGAAAAGCGAATTGTTTTTGCACAAGAGAGTGACCAGTCGGCATGGCCACCAGGGCACCTGTGCATCTTTTGCACACAAAAAAAACCCCTGTAGGTGGAGCTACGTAGTGAGAGGGACTTCCTGGTCAGGAGTCTCTAGATACTACTCCAGTCAGGGCTGGGTTTACGGCCTCCCCCTCAGCTCTCAGTTTGCAGGGACTGAGCCGCCAGCTGGCTGAATGCCACCCGAAGGGGAGGAAAAGCCACCGAGTGATCGTGAGCCACTTGACCGTGTCGGGACCTGACAGAGCGGCCACCACAGGACCCAACTGTCACTTCGTCCTTCCATCCGCATCCATTCTGCTTCGGGCCCTGACTTACGTGGCGCTAGCTGAAGCCCACATTGTGGAGCCATTTGCTGGGCTGGTGCCCTGATTTGGGTGTTCCCCAGGGTGGGTGCCATGTGTTTGTTTGGGGAGGCGCCCGGCACATGTCTGGTTCCAGGCCCTGGCGTTGGGAGTGGTACCTTTTGTAAATAATGCTGGAGCGACTCCAGACCCTGGTGCTGAACTAGTTCTTTGAGGACATCGCCTATCTTCCCAGAGATGTCCTCGGGCCCCCTGCGAGGAAGGAAAACAAAGGCAAAGGTGAAGGAGGAGTTGTTTTTTCCACCTCTTGGGCCTAACGGCCATCCCTTCCGCATTGTATAATTGTTTGTTACTCTTCTGAGCCGGAAACTCTTTCCAGAGTAGGACCAAGTTCCTAAGGCAGAGAAGAGCCAACCTTTCCCTTGCTGGCCTATCTCATTGACTCTCTCCCCAGATTCCTTCATGTACATGAAGCTATTTTCCCCCTTTCCTGAAGCCTGAAGTATAGTTTATTGGCTAAGCCATTCTTAGGGAGGGGCTTAAACCAGCCAATGAGGTAGTGGGATCCTTCCCAATTGCATATCAAGCAAGCTATAAGACACTTGACTAGCTGAATCCCTCAAGTTCTCTTCCCCCCCATAATCACCATTGCGTTCGGTGAACACTGGCATTGAAAAACTTAAAAAACAACAAATAGTCTTGCAGCACCTTAGGGTATGTCTAGACTGCATCTCTCTGTCGGCAGAGGGTTAGTCTCTAAGGGTATGTCTAGACTGCATCTCTCTGTCGGCAGAGGGTTAGTCTCTAAGGGTATGTCTAGACTGCATCTCTCTGTCGGCAGAGGGTTAGTCTCTAAGGGTATGTCTAGACTGCATCTCTCTGTCGGCAGAGGGTTAGTCTCTAAGGGTATGTCTAGACTGCATCTCTCTGTCGGCAGAGGGTTAGTCTCTAAGGGTATGTCTAGACTGCATCTCTCTGTCGGCAGAGGGTTAGTCTCTAAGGGTATGTCTAGACTGCATCTCTCTGTCGGCAGAGGGTTAGTCTCTAAGGGTATGTCTAGACTGCATCTCTCTGTCGGCAGAGGGTTAGTCTCTAAGGGTATGTCTAGACTGCATCTCTCTGTCGGCAGAGGGTTAGTCTCTAAGGGTATGTCTAGACTGCATCTCTCTGTCGGCAGAGGGTTAGTCTCTAAGGGTATGTCTAGACTGCATCTCTCTGTCGGCAGAGGGTTAGTCTCTAAGGGTATGTCTAGACTGCATCTCTCTGTCGGCAGAGGGTTAGTCTCTAAGGGTATGTCTAGACTGCATCTCTCTGTCGGCAGAGGGTTAGTCTCTAAGGGTATGTCTAGACTGCATCTCTCTGTCGGCAGAGGGTTAGTCTCTAAGGGTATGTCTAGACTGCATCTCTCTGTCGGCAGAGGGTTAGTCTCTAAGGGTATGTCTAGACTGCATCTCTCTGTCGGCAGAGGGTTAGTGTAAAGGGTGTCATGAGGTTTCGTGGGCACAACCCACTTCTTCAGATGACTGGCATTATTAAAGGTATGGTTTTGAAATAAATAGGGGATGGAGCGGGAAGAGAAGGGAAAGCAATAGGCATTTTGAGTCTCCATGCTACATGAAGGTGATAGAGAAGTTGCAAATTGTTCTTAAATACCCATTGTTTGGAGAGGAAGGCACTAGCATTGCACTATATCAGCTGCCTGGTAATCCTGAGGAATTCTCAGGTTCTAGTTTCCTGGAACACACTTGCCTCATCCAGGCAATGCCGCTCCCGGACAGAGTCCGGGAGTGATCGGACAACCCGAGGCCACTAGCCCTTGGCACAGCTGCTCCCTGCTGCTGCGGAACACGCCCGTTTTCACCTTTCGCAGAAGAGGTACTCCTGTGACTTCCGCAGCTCCTTGCTGGTCTGTATGTGGAACCCCGTGAAGGACTCCTCCGTTTCTTCTTTGCAACCCAAATGGATGAATTCCAGGAACTGGTCGTAGATCCCCGGCCATCTCTTCTCCACCGGGAAGTCATCAAGACCCAACTGACTGCTCCAAAAACATGAAGTTAGGTCTGACGCCTACACTTTTCTCCCGTCCCACAAACAGCCCCTTCGAGCCCTCTCACCAGCACATTTTCCCCAGCCGTGAGCACAGGAGATAGGCAATTTAGGCACATCCGAGGGGATATAACAAGGAACACCAGGATGAAGTTCGGCAGTGGTCAACTTCGATTTATTCTGCTGGAAATGAGATTTGACCAAGGAGCCCCAAAGAGCAACACGTGGATTATTCGCAGCCCAGGGTGGACTAGTCATGTGTGGTTGGCTCTCCTTCCTGCAACGTGCTTCTTCTGCCTATAGAGAAGCTCTTTACTTATGAGTCAGGAAGCAGCCGGTACCAGAACCAAGGCAGCTAGCTCTGCTGGTAGCAGCTACTGCATTAGCAGAGGAAAGAGGAACAACTCTCTTGGAGTGAAGGCGCCAGCCACAAGGGGAAAGGAAGCATCCCGGGGAGAAGGAAGTGATGTAGCCAGGCTACAGAGCCAGGAATTCATCTCAGGGCAAATTTGGCGGCATGCAACTTCTGCCTTAATTCATGGGGTGTTTCAAGAGAGGTCAGCTTGGGAGTCACAGGGCTGAGACGGACCCAGGACTTCTCTGCTGCAGTGTGCCTCACCCAGCTACCTTGGCTCCTCTCCACTGGGTTACAGTGGCTACGGACGGGCATCCCCAGAGGAGAGGGAAGGTTGTGGACATTTCACACCCCTCCTCAGAGAGCTTGGCGCCTGGCAACCTTGCAACAGATTTGGTGCTGGAGACATCTAACCATTGGGTTCACGTCAGAATTATTATTCATAGAATCCTAGAATCCCAGGGCTGGAAGAGACCTCAGGAGTCATAGACTCCAGCCTCCTGCTCAAAACAGGACCAACCCCAACTCAATCATCCCAGCCAGGGCTTGGTCAAGCTGGGGCATCAAAACCTCTAGGAATGGAGATTCCACCCCCTCCCTAGGGAACCCATCCCAGTGCTTCTCCACCCTCCTCGGGAAATAGATTTTCTTAATTTCCTACCTAGACCTCCCCCAATGTTGCCTGCTTCCTGCATAGGAAAATAGAGTTTGTACCACCCAATGAGATCCCACCTACTCACATCTGTCAGTACACTGCAAGCATGACAATCAAGAATGGGCCGGTGATGGGTCAAATATTTAACCCCCTTCTCTCTTTTTTGTAAATCATAGAGATGTAGGGGTGGGAGGGACCTCGAGACCTCAGCGACCCCATCTTCCCACACGGCAGCAAGACTAAGTATATCTAGGTCATCTCTGCCAGGTGTTTCACATGTTCTTAGAGGCCTTCAGTGAGCGTGCTTAATGGTTTTCAGGCATCTAAAAAGGTGTCACAAGGAGGAGGGAGAAAAATTGTTCTTCCTGGCTTCTGAGGATAGGACAAGAAGCAATGGGCTTAAACTGCAGCAAGGGAGGTTGAGGTTGGACATTAGGAAAAACTTCCTACCTGTCAGGGATGTTAAACACTGGAATAAATTGCCCAGGGAGGTTGTGGAATCCCCATCCCTGGAGATATTCAAGAGTAGGTTAGATAAATGTTTATCAGGATGGTCTAGTCCAGTGGTTCTCAACCATGGGCCATATGGCTCTCCAGGGGCCATGCCCTACCTCAAGGGGGATTATTAGGTAAATTATGTACCTTTTTTTCCAACTAACAGCGGCTATGAGGGGGGCCACAGAGGTAAACAAGGCTCAGAAGGGGGCCATGAGCAAAAAAAAAAAAAAAGGTTGAGAAACAGTGGTTTAGACAGTCCTGAGTCCTGCCATGAGGGCAGGGGACTGGACTTAATGACCTATTGAAGTCCCTTTCCATTCTAGTGTTCTGTGATTCTATGAATTCTTCTAGGTAGCCCCTTTTCCTAAGTGAGAAACTGCACCTCCGAAAAAGCCTCGTGGAAAGGATGCTCTTGTGCGTATGGCTCTGAACTGGACTCAGAAGTCGTGGCTCTTCCTCAGACTCCATAGCGGCTCAATGAATCTGCCCATCAGAGCCTCATCTGTAAAAACGGGGGAGATCTGGCTTTCTCCCTGGGCCACCCATGCTTCTTTAGACCCCTCTTTATGGGGCAGGAGCTGTCTTGTTATTTCGATGTACAGCGCCTTGCACTGTGGGAACGCACTAGGTGCTAGTACAGGGGAGGGCAAGATTCGGCCCGTGAGCCGGAGCCGGCTTGCCAAGTCATTTGATTTAGCCCGCGGCCGCCCTGCCACGCCCTCAGGGGAGTGCGCCAAGTCATTTGCTGTTGAAAGTGGCTGGTGGCTCCCTCCCTCTGCCAGGAGCACGTGGCACCTAGAAGGAACCACCAGCCATTTTGAACGGCAAATGACTTTGTGCACACCCCTTTCCCTGCTCCCGGGTCTCAACTGGCCTGGGAACCACCGCTTCCACCTGAGACCCCGCCCCTTCCACCTGAGACTCCGCCCCTTCTCCAGCCAGTCTATGACAGTTACCCACAATTCATGAAATGGCCCACCCTGCAGAAATTATGGCCCACCCCTGTGCTAGTGGACTACAAACCATGGCCCTCTGAGCGATTTACTGCCACTCACACTTTGGTTATCGAGTCCTCCTGCTTGTCACTGGATGTGTTCAGGGTTCCCTGGGTCTGAAGCCCTTGGCCAGATTTGTTACTGAAGGTGCCCTCCAGGGTGAAGCCGTTGGAAAAGGTCAGCTTTCCCTGAAACACAGAAGAAGGGCTTCATCTACCAAGTCCTCAGTTGGCAGGAGGTCGGAGAAGGGTCCAATCCCACGTTCAAGAAGCTCACAAGCAGAAAGCCTGCCGAAGAAGGTTCTTTCCACCACACGGGCCATATGTGAGAAGCGGTCTCAATGCGGGAGAACTTCGAGGACGGGAGATCTCGGGACCCAAGAGGCAGACGTCCACTTGAGTCCCGTGACACTGCCCACACGGATAGGGTTTGAGATGTGGGACTCCAGCTACAAATGCACGGTAAGGGTCTCATACGACAAGGAGGGCCAGGGTGAGTCCTTGTTTCTGTGCCATGAAGTCCTCAGCCTCAGGAGAAGACTCCGTCTCCAAGCTGGGGTGAATGCACAGTCTGGGCATCTAATCCCTGTCTAGCATCCCCCATGTCATGCCAGCAGGCTTGGCCTCATCGGTGCAGTGAGGTGAGTGGAAGGAGACGCCTACTCGACGAGCTGGGAGGTTGAACGAGCTCAGAAGCTAAGTCGTTCAATGTCGCCAGACCTGCTTGGGCCTACGCCCTGTTGGAAACCCAGCACCGACCTTTTCAAACCCAGCATTAATGTGAGTGGTGCATAGGGCTGCGGATGGGGGGAGGAGGTAGCTGCTCTGGAGCCCGACAATTTTAAAGGGCCCAGGACCCCCATCACCCCTGCCGCCACCTCAGCAGCTGGCGCGCTGGGCCCTTTAAATCCTCACTGGAACCCCCAATGCCATGAACCCTGCAGCCCCAGTGGCGCTGAAGAGTCAGCAGGGGGAGGCTAACTACCAGCCCCGCCCCTTCCACCTGAGGCCACACCCCTTCCACTTGAGGCCACGCCTCTGCCACCTGAGGTCCCGCCCTTCCACCTGAGGCCACACCTCTTCTACCTGAGGCCCCGCCCTTCCACCAAAGTCCCACCCCTTCCACCTAAGGCCCCGCCCCTTCTGAGGTGCTTGGAGCTGGCTCTCCCAGAACCTGGCAAAGTCTCTTCTCAGCCCTGGAGGTAGAGGTGTCTCAGTGCTTGAGTCAAACCGAGGCCAACTAGGAACTAGGGATGTGAACAACTTGTCAAGTAGTTGACTATCCGATAAGTAAATGCTTCTCTGATGGTCAACACACTAGCTGACTAATTATTTCCCCTCCACTTGCTGTGTCTATTGTATTTGCATATATATATGCATGTATATGCAACCACACTTAAATTGCAGCCCTCAGTATGTGCAGAGAGCATCATTGTGGCCCCCAGGGCTTCTAAAGTTGAGTAGCCCTGATCTACAGCTTTAGGTGGGAGCCAGCTGACTTATAGCCCAAGTGATAGAGGCTCCTATACAAAGCACTAGAGGTCCCAGGTTCGGTTCTACCTGTCGGCACTACAGTTACAGCTTTTCCAGTGTGATTTGTGTTTAAAAAAAAATCCCAAAGGAACTGTAACTATTCAGTAGGACAATGGCCTGAACTTTGAGGGACTGCCTTCTTGAAAAAGTTAGAAGGACCACAGCGGTGTTGAGATAGGCAGGCGCCTCACCTTGCCGACAAACGTTAGATCCCTCGTGAAGCTGCCTTCGTAAACAGAGTCATCTTCTAAGAGGAGAATCCCAGAACCCTAGTGATTTAAGAACAGAGAGTGGAGAATGAGACACATTGGCTCCTATGAAGGATTGCACTTTATCCAACACATGGGTACACTGACACATCCCAGCGTGTTCTCACTGTTCCCTCAACCCCTAGACAAGGGAGTCCATGTTCTACTGGCTAAGAAAGTATCCACGGAGAGTTATTTACTCACCACCATTTTATCTGCATGAAATGTTCTTTGGTAGCACATGCCAGACTGGGTGACCACAATGCCTTGTCCATGTCTGTGGTCATCTTGCCACATCCCAATGTACCTTTCCCCTCTGGAAGAGAAGATAGGAGGCGCTCAAACACCACTCCTGGAGAACTTGGCACACGACCATTGAGAACTAATGAGCCAACTTGACAGCGGGTGATAGAAGGTGCTACTGTAACCCACACACCTGCCGGATGGGGTGCTCTGTCCTGTGAAGTGGCCGTGAGACCACTCACAGAGAGACAGAGCATGAGTCTGTTCTATGCCTGAGTGGGGAGCCAGCTGGCTTTTAGCTCCAGCTGGAGAGGCTCATGCACAGAGGTCCCAGATTCGGTTCCGCCCCTCGGCGTTACACTTGCTTATGCCCCATGTGAGAGTTTGGTCTTTCTACTGTCGGCAGCTTCAGAAAGACACTGGGCAGGTGTGCACACAGCCCTGTGGAAGTGTCTGAATGAGAGATAAATGGAGCCAGATGGGAAAGGCAGGCCAGGTAGTTCAGGTCATCCACCAACCAGGTCTCTGCAACTCACACGGCCAAGGAGATCAGACCTTTTCTACATTTAATGACAGGTTTCTGAGTGGTCCCCTAGTCCAGTGGTCCCAAACCTTTTGGGGCTTCCGGGCGCCCAGGGGCGGGGCCACTCACACGCTGCGTACCCGGGGACGGAGCCGCGCACAGGCCCAGGGGTGGGGCCACCCATATGCCCCACTCCCGGGGCCGGCGCTTCTCCTGTGCCGCACACCCAGGGGTCAGGCTGCTCATATGCCGCGCGCCCGGGGCTGGAACAGCCCATGCACCACATGCCCGGGGCCGACGCCGTGTGCCCAGGAGCCAGCAGTGACCATGAGCCACATGCCCAGGGTCGGCACCACTCCTGTGCTGCGTGCCCAGGGGCAGGGACGCTCATACACCGCGTGCCCAGGGCTGGCACAGCCCATGCACTGCACACCTGGGGGCAGGGCCGCCCATGTGCCGTGCGCCCAGGGCCGGCTCCAATCACTCGGCGAGTGCACAGAAATGGCCCAGTGGGCACCATGGTGCCCGCGGGCACCGCGTTGGGGAACAATGCAAAGTCTGTTAAGAGGCCACTGGCCTCCTTGGTCTTTCTACACTTGGGCTGTGTCTAGACTACATGCCTCTGTCAGCAGAGGCATGTAGATTAGACAGATCAGCAAAGGTAAATGAAGCCGCGATTTAAATGATTGCGGCTTCATTTACATTTACATGGCTGCCGCGCTGAGCCGACAAACAGCTAATCAGCTGTTTGTCGGGCTGATTAGCTGTTTGTCGGCTCAGCGCGGCAGCCATGTAAATGTAAATGAAGCCGCGAGCATTTAAATCGCGGCTTCATTTACCTTTGCTGAACAAACAAATCTACATGCCTCTGCCGACAGAGGCATGTAGTTTAGACGTACCCTTGCTGTGCCACTGATGGCTGATGCCTGAGCTAACTCCAGTGGTGAAAGTCTCCAACCTGCAGCCTACACCACGGAAGCCATTATTTACAGTGGTGGTGTTTTCCCCTCTATCAAGCCTCCCCGGCAGCAAAGGAAGGCTAAAATTATAGCACAGCTAAGGCGATGCAGCCAATGGGGTTGTCTGTCTTCCAGGCTTCTCCCCAGCTGTCCCATGGTTCAGTGGAGAGCAAGGCAAAAGGAAGGGTTATTTATGGGTCAAGGTCATTATCTTGATATCCCCACCAGGTTAACCAAACCCAGCCTGGAGCCAACGTAGGAACTTCTAGCAAGCTCTGCAACCCAAAGAGGATGATCTGCTCTGAATGAGGCGGCTCTAAGACTTGTGCTTTGGTAGGAAGGCAGCAGGGACCATCCTTAACTTGGAGGAAGTGTTGATTGGATAGTGATCGCGGCTTAGACAATGCCCTCTGAACGACTCTCCTAGAGACTAGGCCTGAGAGTCCCATTTGCAAGCGGAACGAGAGGATGCCTGCTTGCGAGTCCGTGGTTGACTGAGGGACTGGACCTAGTCCAGCAAGCTCAAGCTGTCCACTCACGGCAAGTCCTCCAGTTCTGGCGACATGCTGAAGATTTCCTACTTCAACACGTGTCACTTTTACAGGAAACGTTTGCAAAGCCAGAGAGATTTTCCGGTGATCCAAGTTTGAAGTTCAGTCTATTTACTGTTGATTTACCAATGTGGCTTTCCAATGCTCTTTGACACTACATCAATAAAGGCATGTCTAGGAAATTATTTTGAAATAGCTAAATTTGAAATAATAACTCCCAAAATAACAAAATTGAAATAGCGTGTCCCCACTATGGGGGAGTTTGAAATGAGTCCGAGGCAGGCTCTGTTATTGTGAATGTGCTACCTCAACTGAGAGCCCCAGAAGCACTGGGGACTAATTACTTTGAATGACTCTGGGGAGTCGTTATTTTGAAATAGCAGCAGCGGAGCGTCCACACGACTGCTATTTCGAAATATCCATTTTGAAATAAGCGTTATTCCCAGAGGAAAGCGGGAGTACAGATTTCAAAATAACTAGCCGGTTATTTCGAAATATCGGGCTAGGGTGTGTGGATACTCCACTTCTTTGTTCAAAATAAGGGGAGGAGGTTATTTTGAAATAACTCCCTAGGGTAGACCAGAGCCAACGTACTTAACAGTCAGCTAGCTGTTGGATAGAGATATACATAAAATTGCTATGTATATAGATACAGTTCCTTTTGCTGGAAAAGTCATCAATGCAAGGAGACCTCATCCATCCAACTCTTTCTACACCCATCCTATGTGCACACCTGGCAGAACGTTTGCTGGCCCCGAAGTCATTGCAACTTAGATGCTGCTATTGCCATGCACTGCAAGAGAATTTGCTACAGGAGTGACTCATCAGTATTCCCCTTATAAGATATTCTGGCCTCATTACAATGTTCCAAGACAATCATGTGGTCATCAGACCTACATCAATATCAGGCCACCTCAAGTGTTACAATTCAAGGCTGCACTTTGATGGAATCATTGAACTGCAAGCGCAGTTCCATTAAAATCGAATCCCCTTGCTGCTAGCTTATGTAAATTTTCATTTCGGGAAAAAAACCCACAAGGAGACAGCTGGCACGCTACGTTCCACTTCGGCATTTTCAAAGGAAGTGTTGCCAATTTTTGGCTTTGAAAAAAATGTGTTTGGAAAATTAGTTTTCCAATAAAAATAAGGTCCAACTAAAAATGGAGCATGACGATCGATCCAAAATGACGGGTTTATTTTTTTCCGGCCTGGAGAATTCCAAAGTGCTGGGGGATTGTTCCAAATTGTAATGAACCCAGTTTTAAAATCCTTTGGGAAACTATTTCCAATCCTCTGCCCTGCTCAAGATGGTCACAAACTTTTCATCGACGTTGGCCCCTGTCATAACCATGAGGGATGGCTAGCAGCCTGGGGGTTAAGGGGTTAACTATGTCCCTATACCTAGCCAGGTATCTGCTCAGCCATTAGAAATGCAGATAGGGATTTCAAACTGAGACAAAGGAATTTTTGAATTTTTTCCTCCTTTGTCTCTGGACCAGTTTGCTCTCTAGATACTGAGGGAGACAGAAGACATGTTCCTCTCTTTTGCAACTAAGATTTGGCTCTGGGGGAATCCTCCATGAGTATATTAATTTGTGGCTCTTACCATCTAGCTGTTCCAACTACGCTTGTAAACAGGGTATTGTTCTAATAATAAAAGTTCTTTTTCTTTTTTTTAATTAACCTGGTATTGGTTCATTTCTGTGTCCAGGAAACTCTGTCTGTGGGATCCGCATGCCTCTGACGAGGGGAGTGCAATCACAGACTGCAACTTGTATTTTCTCTTTTCTTTTCAAGCTCTTTGGAGAAAAGACCTTGGGGTACCCTGGGGTTGGTTTCAAGTGTCTGCCCATTTGTGGGTTCAAAAGCACTTGATGGTGGCAGCAGATTCCCCAAAATCTGGGTATTAGGATTTGGGGGGGAGTTTTTATACCAAAGCCTGTAGAGGTCCGGTTTTGGGGTACGTTTGCCAGTTCCCCACTTCTTCATTCATCGTGCCAGAGTTTTGCCTGCTCCTCACTTCTTCATTCATCGTGCCAGAGTGGGGATTAGCCTTGACAGCCCCTCTCAAAGTCAAGTCGAAAATGCGTCCGGGTGAGGACAGCTGAGAACCCACTTGGTGTGAACGTTGGCTGAGCACCCTCCTGTAACGTTACCTGTCCTTGTCGTCCCAGACGCCGTACCCGCTCTTCTTGTCACCGTCCCACTGCCCGGTATACTTAAACGGCTGCTCCGAGGAAGGGTTTTCCAGGATACCAAAACCCTGACGCAGATTATCACTGAAGTATCCTTTGTAAACCATCTCATTGCCATACCTAGAGAGAGATTGGATAGCGCCATTTTTAAGACAGTCCAACGGGAACTACCACCCATTCCTTTTGCCGTGGCTCATCTGCCAGGACACTGCAGTCTTCTGACACTAAGTGAGGGCAACTTTGGGGCAAGCGTCCCCCCATATCATGCTTCTACCCTGTCCTATGAGACACCACTTATAAAGGCAAGAGTACATGGGGCTAGACAACCATTACCCCAGATCTGAGCCTTGAACTTGGACCTTCCTCTAAGCCTGGGTGGGCAATCCTTTGCCAGGGGCTACTGCAGAAATTTTTGAAGTGGCCCTGGGCCGCTCCGGAAGGGGCGGGGCCTCAAGCAGAAGGGGCGGGGCCAGGATACTGCCCTGCTTCCTCACCCATAGACCATTATTGATCTGAGGGAGGGGAGCGCATGAAGTCTTTGCTCCCTCCCCAGAGGATACCCCTACGCGCCCATGCCCCTGGAGGTGGGAGGAGACTTTGTGCACTCCCCCTGCTACTCCCAGGACAATCAGGGCTGTTTCTAAGCACCTTGCATGCCTTGCAGGATGGGGGCAGGGTGGAGGAAACTTTGCTCGCTCCCCCTGCCCCCAGGCCAATCAGGGTTTGGAGGCGGGGGAGTGCGCAAAATCTCCTCCCACCCTGCCAGGAGCTTCTAAGTGCCCTATGCTCCTGGCAGGGCAGAGGAAATTTCATGTGCTTCCCCCCTACCCCCAGACACTAATTAGCCTGGGGGCAGGGGAGTGGCAGGGCTTCTGCAGGCTGGATCAACTCTTCTAAGCAGTCCTTGACCGCTCCTTGGAGACAGCCAACAAGGGTACCCACTTTTGTTATATTGACCTGGAACGGGGATTGAAACCCACCTTGTGTCACACCGGCTCTCACCAACTAGGCAGATGGTAATAACAGCCAGCATTCAAAGATCTTGTGTGTGGGCCAGCCTGGCTCACTTCATCAGATTAGCAACTACCCTTTCTCCAGAAGCAGCAAGCACTTTGCTGCTTCTGATGTATTCGGCCAGCTGAGCAGTGTGCTCTATGGAGAAACTCCTTGTTGACTCCTGGAAACCTCTGGCACACTAAAGACTGATTTGATTGCCCCATTTAGCCTCCGTAACAGGAGTAGAGTCACAGAATGATAGAATCATAAAATCCTAAAACTGGATGTTTAGCCTCCATAACAAGAGTAGAATCACAGAATGATAGAATCATAAAATCATAAAACGGGAAGGGATCTTGAGAGGTCATTGAGTCCAGTCCCCTGCCCTCACGGCAGAACCCAATTCTGTCTAGACCATCCCTGATAGACATTTATCTAACCTGCTCTTAAATATCTCCTGAGATGGAGATTCCATAACCTTCCTGGGCAATTTATTCCCGTGTTCCATGACCCTGACAGGTAGGAACTTTTCCCTAATATCCAGCCTCAACCTCCCTTGCTGCAGTTTAAGCCCATTGCTTCTTGTTCTGTCCTCAGAGGTCAAGAACAATTTTTCTCTCCTCTCCCTGTAACACCCTTTGAGATACTTGAAAACCGCTCCCATGTCCCCTCTCAGTCTTGTCTTTTCTAAACGAAACAAGCCCAGTTCCTTTAGTCTTCCCTCATAACTCATGTATTCTAGACCTTGAATCATTTTTGTTGACCTTCTCCAATTTCTCCACATCTTTCTTGAAATGTGGTGCCCAGAACTGGACACAAGACTCCAACTGAGGCCTAAACAGTGCAGAGTAGAGCGGAAGAATGACTTCTCGTGTCTTGTTCACAACATTCCTGTGAATGCATCCCAGAATCATGTTTGCTTTTTTTGCAACAGTGTCACACTGTTGACTCATATTCAACTTGTGGTCCACTTTGACCCCTAGATCCCTTTCTGCCGTACTCCTTCCTAGACAGTCGCTTCCCACTCTGTCTGTGTGAAGTATTAGAAGTCTTTACAGGACACTCTGCACAGTCATATGATAGGTCTCAGGCAGACTGGAAACCAGATCCAAGAGCAGGCTGCTCTGACAACGGCTATGTTGACTTTCGCTCTTTACGTTCTGGGGCCTGGTGTTGTGGGCAGAGTAAATGTTCCTTTGTCCCTCGGGAGGGAAGGACTGGAATTGCCTTTAGCAGACCAAACTAGCCCTTCTTTCCCAAGGTGCAGGTACACCTCGAGCCCCCGGAGCGCACCAGACCCAACAAGGACAGAAGACTCCTGGGGCATCATTCTCATGGAGGAATGAGGCCCGCACACAGCTTCGGTGAGGCGACGTGGCGTAGGAGAGATGGAGGGCAAGATGCCACGATTGTTAGGAGCATGGAGCTGTGTTTCAGGGCTATAGGAACAGTAAATTCCTTTTCAGGAGTGGGCTTTAGCCCTGGCAGGCTGCCGGACACTTTATTTACCCGCAGATCCACGCCGCTTGCCGCGGGAAGCATTGAGGGCTGGGCCCCATTTCCCTCAGCTTTCACTGGTTGGCGACGGTGAACCGCAGCCTACGGAGCGGCAAGCGGCCCATGTCTGTGGTAAATAAATCATCCAGCGGCCCCTCCGGCCCAACCCCAGCCAACTGCGTCCTGCCCACAGGCCACTTAGTGCCCCTCGTGTTCTGAGGCCTGCCCTGCCCAACGGGTCCACAGTGGTTGGCTCTTCCGTAACCAAGAAAGGAGCCGCCACCCTCCTTGGCACTGCCCAGAGGCTGGGCTCGGAGCGTTACTTACTCACAGATGCCGTAGCCTCGCCTCCGGCCTTCCCACCAGTGGCATTTGTAGCAGTCGTACTTGTCCTCGGAGGCGAGCGGGATGAGGCAGATGCCAAAGCTGGGGGGCAGACAGGGAGACGTCAACGCGCGAGCGGGAACAAAGGCCTCAGGAGACTTTTATACCGGTGGCCCCGTTTGTCACCCCTATTCTACGCGCACGCAGTGGCCGCGCCAACCGACTGACACCAGGGACGAGGCCCCAGGCATCTCCCCCTCGCTTCACCTCGGGTGTGCGAGGGGAAGGTGAATGCCCCCCCACACGTAGTCACGAAGCTGTAGTCTGTGGTATTATCTGGTCCACGAGGCAACACGTGCCCAGCAACAGAATCCGCTGGCTCAGCCTCACACCATAACTGCAGGGCTGTCGCTAGGGGAGTGTGCTTGTCCCGACCAGTTTGGGGATGACATTGCCCAGGGACCACCTCAGCCTGCCCCAGGGGGGTGCTCTAAGCTGGGGCGCTCTGCGCTCCAAAGGACTCACTGCTGCCTGAGCCAAAGGGCTAGCTCCTGCCAGCCAGTTGCTGTGGTGGGGGGCCGTCTGTCCTCTTTCACAGAGGACGGGCCTGGTTTTTGCGACCCTGGTTTTTGCCCTGGGCCTCTCCACCCTGACTTCTGTACCCCTATTCCCCTGCCCTGGGCCCCTCCACCCTGACTCCTGAACCCACCACATCCCCCTGCCCTGGGCCTCTCCACCCTGACTCCTGTACCTCCTATCCCCCTGCCTTGGGCCCTTCCACCCTGCCCCCTGTACCCGCTATCCTCCTGCCCTGGGCCCCTCCACCCCGACTCCTGTACCCCCTATCCTCCTGCCCTGGGCCCCTCCACCCCGACTCCTGTACCCCCTATCCCCCTGCCCTGGGTCCCTCCACCCTGCCCCCTGTATCCCCTATCCCCCTGCCCTGGGCCCCTCCACCCTGACTCCTGTACCCCCTATCCCCCTGCCCTGGGTCCCTCCACCCTGCCCCCTGGGGCCCCTCCACCCTGACTCCTGTACCCCCTATCCTCCTGCCCTGGGCCCCTCCACCCTGACTCCTGTACCCCCTATCCTCCTGCCCTGGGCCCCTCCACCCTGACTCCTGTACCCCCTATCCTCCTGCCCTGGGCCCCTCCACCCTGACTCCTGTACCCCCTATCCTCCTGCCCTGGGCCCCTCCACCCTGACTCCTGTACCCCCTATCCTCCTGCCCTGGGCCCCTCCACCCTGACTCCTGTACCCCCTATCCTCCTGCCCTGGGCCCCTCCACCCTGACTCCTGAATCCCCTATCCTCCTGCCCTGGACCCCTCCACCCCCAGCCCTGACTCCTGATCCCCCCACATTGCCTTGCTCTGGACCCCCCCATGTCCTAAATGCACCTGTCCTCTATTCCTGAGGTACCTCGATGGCCACCCTAACTCTTATTCTTTTGCCACCAGCCACCTCACATGCAGTTCTGGGCTACCATCACAGCCTTTGCTGTACCTGGAGAGCACTGAGCAGCTGAAACGTGGCAGCGCTCAGGAGCCCAAAGGGACTGGAGGGAAGGGCTTTTCTCGTATCCTGCCGTTCAGCCATGACGGGCTAGAACTAGGGATTCAAACACCTGCGCAGGGAGTTGGATTCAAGGCGTGAACATTGTTCCCCTCGCCCTGTGGACTGTGGCCATGGCTCCATGTTTCTCTACCTAGGCCTGGGTGTGACAGGGTGTGCATACCTCACACTGGGCCAGGAGGGCTTAATACCCTGTGGGTGGAGGAAGTCCCGCCCCCAACCTCACTGGGCATGCTCCAAGGGCTGGAGCAATATAAAAAGGAGCCGCTCAGCTCAGTCTGGGCTGGACACCGGGGGAGAAGGACCTTATGTGAGAGCTCCAGCAATACCCCAGCCAGAGAACCAGATGTTGGGAGCCAGAAACGCAGGAGACTGCCTCGAACTGCCAGCCCCAGGGAGAGGCTGTTGCTGTGGGACCGGAGGACTCAGAGAACATGTGGAACGTCCCTGTACTAGATCAGATAGGAAGTGACCCTGTGCACAAGTGGTATCTCCCACCCCAGTGAGCTCAGTTTGTTGCCGCCGGATTCCCCACTGCGTGAGTGGTGGAGCCCTTTGCGTCAGGGCCCAGTGGAGTAGGATGGGCCTGGGCCCCCCTACTTGGGCAGTTGCCCCAAACAAACAATTGACTCTAACCATTAGGCTGTGCTTCCCTGAACTGTGGGCTAGCCTTATTGACTCTAGCCCCTAGGCTGTGCTGCCCTGAATCTTAGGGATGTGTTATAGACTGTGGCCACTGGGCTGCACTGCCTCGGGACGAGGTGTGCTTGCCACGCGACGCTAGGCAAAACCCACCTCCTGCTTTAGGGTTCCTGTGTCGCTGTCCCTTTAACAGCCAGCTCCCCAGACGCGTGTTTCTAAGCTAGGGGGGCCCAGCGTTCTATGACTTACCCGTGTTCCAGGCCCTCTTGGAAATCCCCAACGTGGTTCCGGCCATCAGGCCACTTCAACGTCCCCCTGCAATTCAGAGTGAGCATCGCCATAAGAAACGGCTCCAGAACAGCTGCTGTTTCTCTAACTATGCTGGAACATTAAGCGCTTTCAATACCCACGCTTCTCGGCCGAGTCCACACCTCAGCTAAGATCAGGACGCCCCTTCCCCATAGTGTAACAGCACAGCAGGAGAGTCCTAGACCCCAGAGGTGAGCAACTGTGCTCAGGAGCATAGATACGGACACACAGCAGGTCTTCACGGCACAAAAGAGGCCTGTTCACTCTGGTTAGCTGCACCATGAGACCTCAGATGCACCATTGATTAGCTTGAGCTGCTAACCCCAGTTACAAGCCCAGTTGCCGTGTTTTCACTGCTATTTTAACCCACGTTAAGAGCACACGCTGGGAGTGGGAGGCGGTGAAGCACACACCAAGTATTGACACTCTGGAGCAGAGATGGGGAATTAATGAGGAATGATTGAAAGAATAGGGTGTGTTTAGCTTGGAAAAGAAAACACGGAGGTTGTGTCTAGACTGGCAAGTTTTTCCGCAAAATCATCTGCTTTTGCAGAAAAACTTGCCAGCTGTCTACACTGGCCGCTTGAATTTCCGCAAGAACACTGACGATCTCATGTAAGATTGCCAATGCTTTTGTGGAAATACTATGCTGCTCCCCTTCGGGCAAAAGTCCCTTTTCCGAAAAACTTTTGCACAAAAGGGCCAGTGTAGACAGCTGAGATTGGCCACGGACACTTTTCAGCAAAAAGTGCTTTTGCGGAAAAGTGTCCTGCCAATCTAGACATGCTTTTCCAAAAATGCTTTTAACAGAAAACTTTTCCATTAAAAGCATTTGCGGAAAATCATGCCAGTGTAGACGTAGCCGGAGAAGGGACATGATAGCAGTTTTCAAGTACAGGTTGATCCTCTCTAGTCCAGAGCTCGCTGGTCCGGAAACATCTGTCATTTGGAATTATTTGAGTTAGTGGGAGGTCCACTTTTCCAAGTTTCCCGCCATCCTGTAAAGTTTGTTTACAGTCACCAGACCTGGCTGTAAGTGTTCTGGGCTGTTATTTAGCTCGAATTTGCCCCTAAATGTCCTCTAATAGCCCAGTCAGCAGTCGAAGTGTCGGAAATGCTGCTAGACAATATTGGCCTCCCATGGTCTGGAAAATTCTCTCGTTCAGAACTGGTCAGGTCCCGATGGTGCCAGATTAGAGAGGTTTGACCTGTACCTAAAAGGGTGTTACAAAGAGGAAGGAGAAGAATTGTTCTCCTTAACCTCTGAGGACAGGACAAGAAGCAACGGGATTAAATTGTAGCAAGGGAGGTTTAGGTTGGACATTAGGAAAAACTTGCTAATTGTCAGGGTGGCTAAACATGGGAGTAAATTGCCCAGGGAGGTTGTGGAATCTCCATCCCTGGAGATATTTAAGAGCGAGTTAGACAGACACCTGTTAGGGATGATCTGGATTCTAGTCGGTGCAGGGGATTGGACTCGATGACCTCTCAGGTCCCTTCCAGTTCTAACTGAGGCATTTTGCACAGCCCTTGGTTCTTTCAGCTTTGGCCATTCTTACAGTTTTATTCCAAGCCGAGATACCCAGGCAACAAAGATGGTCAAATACAATTCAGGAATTGTGTCTTCAGGCTGCTGCAAAGCCAACCCGGAGCAGTTGCGGCAAAGCTGAGATTTCAACCTTTTGTTCCCAAGAGATTGCTAGCACTGGGCAGAAAAGATCGTTTTTGGCAGCCTGTTTCTAAACTGGGCACGTGTCTGAAAAGTAATTCTCATTTGATCAAAAACCCACCCAACTCTGCAAAACAGTGAAAAAGCAAAAACTTTTGCATCGAAATTTGAACAAGTCAAAAGCATTTCAACCAGCTGTAAACACTGGGCATGGAGCCAGATTTTTTCATGGCTCCCATGCAGGTGCCTTTCCCTTATAAGCGGTTTCCAAGACTTAGGTGTCTGGCTAACAACCCTGTTCCTTAACAGACCCACAAAACCCTTAACAGACCCACAAAACCCTTGAGAGCCAGCTGGCTTTATCGCTCATGCGGTAGAGGCTCCTCTGCTGAGGTCCCAGGTTCACATCCCCCCGGGGCGGTCACACACATGTACAGAACAAGCTGACGTCCTTACTTGCCATGCGGTTTGCCCCAGGACCATTCACCTTCGTACACTGCGTTCTTGAGCCTGCCCTCTGCTCGGAAGGTGTACTTGAAGAAGCGATGGACGGAAGGTTCGCTTCCCTCTCTAGCCTTGCCCCACAAGGGGAAATCTCTCTTCCCGTTCAGCGCCTGGCACACGGCCTGGTTCAGCTTCCAATGCCAGACGGCCTGGGGGCACAAAGGGACCAGGGAGTTGAGACTGGAGGCGGGAATGAGAGAAGAACAGAACAAGCCCGTGTCCCAGGTAAACCGGCAGGTCGGCCTGTATCCCCTTGACCAACCACCACCATGCAATCATCTTGGGTCGCTGCTCCTGCCCGTTACTCCTCTGGGAGATGAGTTTTCAAGTGAAAGGCCTCTGAGAATAATGTCCAATAACCACAGAAGCATCCCAACCTGCATTGAGGCAGACACATGGCTGCCTTGTGCTTCTACAAGGACCGGCTTTCCCAAGAATCCGCCTATGAGCAAAACATCGGAGTGTTTCGCTCTTAGTTTTGGATGCCCTTTGGGGTATTTATTCCTTCAGTTTCTTCTCCTTATTCCCAGAGATAGGATGGCCCTGCAGTTACACACAATGGCTGTGTCTAGACTGGCAAGTTTTTCCGCAAAATCAAATGATTTTGCGGAAAAACTTGCTAGCTGTCTACACTGGCTGTTAGAAGCACTGACGATCTCATGCAAGATCGTCAGTGATTTTCCAGAAAAACTATGCTGCTCCCGTTTGGGCAAAAGTCTTTTTCCGAAATACTTTTGCCCAAAAGGGCCAGTGTAGACAGCACAGTACTGTTTTCTGCAAAAAAGCCCCGATCCCGAAAATGGCGCTCGGGGCTTTTTTGCGGAAAACCGCATCTAGATTGGCCACGGACGCTTTTCCGCAAAAAGCATCCTGCCAATCTAGACGTGCTTTTCCGAAAATGCTTTTAACGGAAAACTTTTCCGTTAAAAGCATTTTCGGAAATTCATGCCAGTCTAGACGTAGCCAATGATTCTACCAAACACGGCTCCTCACCCTCATCTGAGGCTCTTTGGCAGAGAGGACGAATTCTTCTTCTGGTGTGACGATACGGAGGGTTTGTCTGTGGAGCAAAAAGGGAATGTTAGGAGGGGCGGAAAGGCGAGTGCTCTCTCTATGGGCTGTCCACCGAAAGACGTACTTCTCTCTTGTGCCAACTTCCCACTCCACTTCTGGTTTGTTTTATGTGCCTAAAAATCCTCATGCTTCAGGGTCTCCTCCGGCCAGGTGCAGGGTTCAGGAAGGGATTTCCTAGTCTGCCCACTCCAGTGTATTCTGGGAGGTTTATCTCCTGTCTCTAAGGTGACAGAGAGGGCCACAGCTGGACATGGTGGGGCGGGGCTTTGGCATGTCCCCAAGCATTCTTTCTCTGTCATTTGGCTGGCTGGTTCTCCTCAGGGAGTTAGTGGTCGCTATAGGTATGTTTAGACTGTGGCGCTATTTTGGGATGTCCCAAAATAGCTATTCCACGTCTTTTCAACCAGCCCGTTATTGTGAAATAGATTTTGCAATAACAGGCTCGCTGTTCCGATGTCCCTGTAACGCTCGTTTTTCTGACAAAACTTGAGGAACGTCCACACTGCAATTGTGTTCTTCCGCAAGAAGATTGAAGAACGGGGGGAGTGGGTTCCGGCATCCTCATTCTATGAGGAAGAAGCCTTTTTGTAAAAAAGTTCAGAAAAGGGCAACAAAAATGATTAGGGGTTTGGAACGGGTTCCATATGAGGAGAAATTAAAGAGACTGGGACTTTTCAGCTTAGAAAAGAGGAGACTGAGGGGGGATATGATAGAGGTCTATAAAATCATGAGTGGTGTGGAGAAAGTGAATAAGGAAAAGTTATTTACTTGTTCCCATAAGATAAGACCTGGGGGCCACCAAATGAAATTAATGGACAGCAGGTTTAAAACAAATAAAAGGAAGTTCTTCTTCACACCACGCACAGTCAACCTGTGGAACTCCTTGCCTGAGGAGGTTGTGAAGGCTAGGACTATAACAAGGTTTAAAAAAGAGCTAGATAAATTCATGGAGGTTAAGTCCATTAATGGTTATTAGCGAGGATTGCTAAGGAATGGTGTCCCCAGCCTCTCTTTGTCAGAGGGTGGAGATGGATGGCAAGAGAGAGATTGTTTGATCATTACCTGTTCAGTTCACTCCCTCTAGAGCACCTGGCATTGGCCACTATCGGCAGACAGGATACTGGGATGGATAGACCTTTGGTCTGACCCAGTTTGGCCATTCTTATGTTCTTTTTTGATGCACTTTTGCCGTGTGGACGCTCTCTTTCAGAAGAAGTTTTTTCGGAAGATCGCTTCCGAAAAAAGCTTCTTTCAAAAGAATCCTGTAATCTACACATAGCCTCAGGTTTGGTTCAAGCAGATCTTCCAAAAAAGCCTCCAATTTTGATCCAAAGACTCCAAGAGATAGAGAACCCATCACTTCTCTTGGGAGCATGTCCTAATGGTTGGAAGTTTGCTCCTTACTCTCAAAGTCAATTTCTCTGGCTTCAGCTTCCATTCAAAACTTCCTACTCCACCTCGCTACTGCACTGAAAAGCCTTTTTGTGCCTGGTATTTTCTCCTCAGGAAGGTTCCTAAACCCCTGCCTGCTTCTGAGCAGCTAACACCAGTAACCCCCTCAGTCTCTCACTGCACCACATTTTAGCGTTGATTATTCTGAAAATATCACTCAACCCAGCATGCCACAGCTCAGTTGCCTGCAAGCAGGTCTGAGAGATGACTAGGCTCGTGCATAGCCCACAGCCGGTTCCCACTCATGCAGCCACCGATAAGGGCCAGGAGACGGCTCTCAAAGTGAATGACAGGAAATACGTAAGTATTAGACTTACTTCTCTGGAGCTGGCTGGTCACTGCAGGTTCCATCTACCCACACAAGCTTCAGATTAAAACTTTGGAAATTGTTCCCCTACAGAAGCAAACCAAAAGATGATCAGTTTGAGATGAGCTACTATTACATCCCCAGATAGTACGCCTGGTCTGGTGATCTAGGGAACAGAGTTTCATGACAAGAGCTGGATGAAATATTTTGGCTGTTTCCCCTCTTCTCCCTCCCTCGCCTAAAAAATCACAGCAGATCTGGTGACACCAACACTGGGAGAACTTCTGCACCCAACGTCCATCCCAGCCCCTGCACCTCCTCCATTAATATCACTTCCTGTCCTCATGAGCTGGATCAGGACCGTGAGGCTCTCCTTCCCCCCATACTCCTCGCTGCAAGAAACCGGCGCCTGTGCTCCAACCTCATGGGGGGCGGGACTGGAGCACCAGGGGGGCGGGAAGGGAGAAGCAAGCCCGCAGCCCACCTGCAAAATGGTCGTAGACCACTAGTGGTCCTTGGACCACACTTGAGAATCACTGCTTTAGACTAATCTCTTCGGTTCGAGGCCCTTTCTCCTCCAGGCAAAAAAGAAAGCCAAGTCTATTTCTAGCCATAGACATTAAGTAGCATAGGCTTGGTATGATGGCACATGTGAACCAGGAGAAAAAAATATTATGCTAGAGTTCTTCTTTTCCCACCCAGCTTTCTTCTCTTGATCTACATTGGGAACCAAAGCATACATGAAGCTATGGTGTCTGGATGATCATAGAATACTATGACTGGAAGGGACCTCAAGAGGTTATCGAGTCCAGCCCCCTGCCCTCATGGCAGGACCAAATACTGTCTAGACCATCCCTGATAGACGTTTATCTAACCTACTCTTAAATATCTCCAGAGATGGGGATTCCACAACCTCCCTGGGCAATTTATTCCAGTGTTTGACCATCCTGAGAGTTAGGAATTTTTTCCTAATATCCAACCTAAAGCTCCCTTGCTGCAGTTTAAGCCCATTGCTTCTTGTCCTATCCTCAGAGGCCAAGATAAACAAGTTTTCTTCCTCCTCCTTAAGACACCCTTTTATATACCTGAAAATTGCTCTCATGTCCCCGCTCAATCGTCTCTTTTCTAAACTAAACAAGCCCAGTTCTTTCAGCCTTCCCTCATAGCTCATGCTCTCTAGACCTTTCATCATTCTTGTTGCTTTTCTCTGGACCCTCTCCAATTTCTCCACATCTTTCTTGAAATGCGGTGCCCAGAACTGGACACAAGACTCCAACTGAGGCCTAACCAGCGCAGAGTAGAGCAGAAGAATGACTTCTCGTGTCTTGCTCACAACACACCTTTGTTACTTTTAACACCATTGAGCCTAGCATGGTGACTCTGCTAGCTGGTGATTCTTCCCCCAGCACCAACTCACCTGAATCAGCACTAGGATGTCGTTAAAGAGCAGAACCCGGTCGGTTCGACCCACGCTGGCCAAGACTGGAAGGTTTTTGCTGTCTTCTAGCACCCTGCGCTCAGGGATACAGAGCGAGTCCTGCCGAGGGAACCAAGGAAGTATGTAATAAAGAGCTCATGGACTCCCACAAAGAAGCATCGGTAGGATTAAATACAGGGCGCCACAGTCTAATCGTTGACCCTCAGAGAGATGAGCTGACTGCCAGTGTTAGACAGCTATGGGGCTCAGAAGCAGCCAAACGGAAGAGTTTCCCTAAACTAATGTTTCAGCCATATGAGGTTTCCAGAGACGGAGACCCCTTGGACACCTGCAAGGCCATACCCTAGAAGTAGGAGACCTAGACAAGTCTTCACACTGAGTCTACATTGGGCTTTGTCTCCAGGAGCATTTGAGTTCCAAATGGAAAAGGGGCATTTTGGGGTCTGAGCAGGGCAACTGAGGAGGGGGTTGGTAGGACGGGGAGTGTTGTATCATTTCAGGGGCATTTCGACAGCTGGCCGATCAATGAAGCCAACCTGACCCCTGCCCGTTTTGAGGGTCACCGTTCTTCGGTGAAGGAGCTGTTGGGCAGCCTCTGTGAATGAACCCGTTATGGAAGCAAACCTGAGAACACAAGACCTGGGGTACACGGGGAAGGCCATCCCTTTGGAGAAGGGGGTGCAATACAGGACTCACTTCACGGGGCCCTGTCTCGTTCCTAGTGTCAGGCATGCTCCAGAAACTCTTGCCTGGGCCGTGAGCATGACCAGGTGGGACCACCAACGGGCGGGCCACCGAGAGCCTGCATCTGACTCACCATGAGTTTGTGTCCCAAAGACTTCCACAGGGCTTTGGTCAGGCAGGCTTCATCCAGGACTTGGCTGATGAAAGACTGCAGCTTGGAGTACTGCTTGGCAGCATTGGTGACGAGTTCCGTCTCCGGGCTCTGGCAACAGGGGGATGCAGCTTTAGGAACATTTCAGCTGGGGACGTTCCAGGGCTGGCAGAGACCTCAGGAGTCACAGAGTCCAGCCCCCTGCCCAAAGCAGGACCAACCCCAACTCAATCATCCCAGCCAGGGCTTGGTCAAGCTGGGACTTCAAAACCTCTAGGGATGGAGATTCCACCCCCTCCCTAGGGAACCCATCCCAGTGCTTCCCCACCCTCCTAGGGAAATAGTTTTTCCTAAGATCCAACCTCGACCTCCCCCACTGCAACGTGATCTCCATCTCTTCCTACACCACGGCTCTAGGACAGACCAAGCAGCACTGAGATCTTTGGGCTAACCTATCTCACGAGCTCAGCGATGGGCAGCCTTCGGCTCGGTGGGCCACGCGGTTGAAATCTGTCATGGGCCTGAACCGCCGCCCCCACGGGGAAGATTAAACACAGGCATGCAGGCAGGGCTCGCGGAACATTCCAAACCCAGGGGAAATGCTCGAATCATTCATACCGTGATAGAACTGCCCGCAGCTTCAAAAGACACATTTGCACTTCCTTTGCAAGAGCAAATCTGTGCCCGGCCTCTTCCCCGCCTCCTCTCCCAGGCATGTTCCCTCCCTGCTCCTCCCTCCCACCCCTGGAGCACCGTGAATCAGCTGATTTGCAGCTTTCTGGCTGTGGGCGGGTGGGGGGGTGAGGAGGAGGCTCCAGAAATTCAGGGAGAGAGAGGGGGGACTAAGTAAGTGAGGGGCTCTGGCACATGAGAGTGATAGGCGTGGGGGAAGGGAGCATGGGGGGGCACACATGGAACCCCAAAGAGCCACCTGCAGCCTGCGGACCACAAATTGCCTACCACTGCACTAGCTTGTGAAGTGCTGATGTATTAATGATTATTATTCATTTAATGAATGCTCTAGAGTCATTCTGGGGGTGTTACACAGGCGGCCAGCCTAGATGATCAGGGCCATACCTGGGAAGGTGCCATTCTATGGGGAGGCAGTATGGTTGAATGGTTAGAGCAAATGACTGCCACATGCCTCAAGTCTAGCCTCCCCCACCCTTCTGCCTTCTCTGCTTCCAGGGTGAACCGGGGCCACTCCGTTCCCCTCTCTACACCTGCGTGTATTCCGGGTGGCTTGTGTTATGGTTACCAGTCCAGGTGGGCAAAGGGTGGATTTTTCTAGTCATTGGCAATTCCAAACCAAAACCCAGTTTGACATCAGGCCAAACCAACAATGAAATGGAGACGTTTGGGGGCATCGGAACGCCAGCATCACTTCGAGTCAGGTCAAAAGAGCCATGTTTCATTGGAGATTCCCAACTGGCTTTGGGGGGTTTTCCTGCTTCGGTTGAAACTGTTTGACAAACTCAACCCTTTCAGGGGACCTTTGCTACTAGACTCTTTGCTCCTAGCGCTGAGAGAAACTTTTGGCAGCGCCTAAGATCGGAGAGTAAAGAATTTTAGGACTCTGCACAAGCACAGCCCCCTGCCACTGTGTCTGCCTCTTGCATTCATTTTCCTGAGAGCATGTGGTGGTGAATGTTATCACAATCCACCAGAGCTCTGTGTATGGGATCCTGAGACTGTCTGCTGAATGCAGTATTGATCGTCTGTACAGAGTTTCTTAAAGTGTGTTCTGCAGCAGTCGGAGGTGTACCACGGAGAGAACAGAATTCAAAATGGCCACCCTTAAAGGGACAAGCTTCTTTTTTTTTTTTTTTTGCTCAACAACTTTTTCCTGGGGGCTTTTTTTTCCTCAATAAAAAAAATCCTTGGTGTTCCCCATTACAAAAATTATTGTTTGGTGTTCCTCAGTCTTAACAAGTTTAAGAAACACTGGTCTAGTACCTCTCCAATGGCCTCCCTGAGCCTGACAAGGATGTGGGAATACTGCCGCACATGATCCCGGAGAGCTTTATGGAGGACTGTATGCAGGGCCACAGGGATGGACGTCTCCGAGGTGAAGTCGGCGAGGAATTGCTTCAGCGCCGTCTTGTGCGTCTTCCAGAATTCACTGCAAGGCACAAGACACCAGTTTGTTCCCCGTCCTGTGTCCCCACACTCTGGAGTCTCTCGCCTGCTGCCCTGAATGAGGCAGCTGTACACCCCCGCCCACCCGCTCAGTTGAATGTGCAGTCACACCCTGGCCCACCACCAGGACAAAGGGGTTGGTCGCTCTGAGGCCCGGTGGCCCCGGATGCCACAGGAGCCCAGGGCCTTTAAAAATTGCCCTACAGCGCGCTCTGGGCAGCAATGAGGGCTGCCTGTTGGGGGGTGGGGGGAGTGAAACATGGCATGCTCCAGACAGTGCTGAGTGCTAGCTGTCCCCAGCCCCGCCCTTCCCACCTAAGGCCCCGCCCCTTCTGGGAGCATGAAGCCAGGCCCCTCCCACCTGGCCCAAGGTCCCAGCAAGTATCCAAACCCATCACACCCGTGCTATGCACCAACTCTGCTAACAGAGCCCACGTAATGCCTGAATAGGGGTGTCATAATCCTAACCAACGTAGCCTAGTGAACTGGGGGATCTAGAAAGAGCAAGCTGCCAGCCCCGCTCGCAGCTCTGCCATTGTCCTTGGCAAGTCTACAGCAAACTTTCCAATAGAGAAATCCTTGTGCAAATTTCCAGGCCTGCTACTGTTGCCTGGGAGTGAAATACTTCTTTGGCAGGTCTAACTGGCAAAGTCTCCCTCTGTTCTGATCTGATCCGCTCTCTACCTGAGCTGTGTTGCTGTTCTGCAGCAGTTACTCATGCTCAGTTACGCGCAGGCTTATCAAGGGTCTATGTAAGCGGCCATTTGCATGTGCTGTCTCTAGTATGCGACCAAAAAATTGCACAAGATACGATTTACTTCAGCTGAAATGGAGCGTCCAGCCTTTTCATTGCTTGCCTCTCCACCTGAGGCCTGGTCTGTACGTATGTCTACACATTTCAGCAAATCAAGGCTATGTCTACACTGGCGCAATGGTGCGCCAGAGATATGCAAATGAGGGTAAGTGTGGAATATCGCCGAGCTTCATTTGCATACCTAATGAGCCGCCATTTTTGCGGAAGAGGCTCTTGCGCTAGAAGGAGCTGTTTACACTGACCCTTCTTGCGCAAGAAAAACCCTCTTGCACAATGCCGCTACGCTGATTATTTTCAGGAATAATGGCACTGCACAAGAGGGTTTTTCTTGCGCAAGAAGGGGCAGCGTAGACAGCTCCTAGCGCAAGAGCCTCTTCCGCCAAAATGGCGGCTCATTAGGTATGCAAATGAGGCTCGGGGATATTCCACACTTCGCCTCATTTGCATACTTCTGGCGCAACAACCCGCCAGTGTAGACATAGCCCAAAAGTCTGTGTTGGGTCCGACTAAGTGGTGCAAAGTGTTTGTCTTCAGGCATTTTTAAAGAGCCAGACTCCAGGCCAGGGGAGGAGGATGTGGTACCTCTCAGTATAACTTTTAGCTTGGTGGGTAGGGCAGGGGTGGCAAGCCAAGGGCCTACAGGCCAGATCTGGCCCCCTGCGGCAAGTCTCCACACCAGGGGCCAGAAGCCCTGAGCCTCAGTGCTACGCCTGCCCCCCTCATGGGGCTGGAATGCAAGGGCCGGCTTGCCCTGCTGCCGAGGGAAGCCCTGAACTTCAGTGCCTCCCTGCATGGTGTTGGAGTGTGAGGGCCGACGCACCTATCTTGGGGGGGCAGGAAGCGCTTAGCCTCAGTGCTGCCCTCCTGGCCTGCATGCTGAGTTAAGCATGAGTGTGTGTGTGGGGGTCACGTTACGGTTTTTTTTTTGATTTTGCCTCTGTGTTGCCCCCCCTCCTCGACTGATTTTTCTGTGGGTCAGTGACTGGAAAAAGGATTCCCGCCCCTGGATAAGGCATCACCCGGCATTGTGGCCTTAACTGACACCAGGAGTAGCCACCCGGCATTGTGGCCTTAACTGACACCAGGAGCGGGAAGGCCTTGTTTGGACACAGACTGGCTAACCTAGTGAGGAGGGCTTTAAACTAGGTTTGTCGGGGGCAGGTGAGCAAAGCCCACAGGTAAGTGCTGCATGTGCGGGACTGGGAGATGGGTTGGAAATGGGGGGGACTACGGCCTATAATGGCAAGGAGAAAGGAGGGTCAGGGCACAACAGGGAGGCAAGATCAAATCAGTATCTTAGATGCCTATATACAAATGCGAGAAGTATGGGTAATAAGCAGGAAGAACTGGAATTGCTAACCAATAAATACAACTATGATATCATTGGTATTACAGAAACCTGGTGGGATGGGACACATGATTGGAATGTTGGTATGGAAGGGTACGGCTTGCTCAGGAAGGACAGACAGGGAAAAAAGGGAGGAGGGGTTGCCTTGTATATTAAAAATGTACACACTTGGACTGAAGTGGAGATGAACGTAGGAGATAGCTGTGTAGAGAGTCTCTGGGTTAAGCTAAAAGGGGTAAAAAACGAGGGTGATATCATGCTAGGAGTCTACTACAGGCCACCTAGCCAGGTGGAAGAGGTGGATGAGGCCTTTTTTAAACAATTAACAAAACTATCCAAAGCCCAAGATTTGGTGGTGATGGGGGACTTCAACTATCCAGACATATGTTGGGAAACTAACACAGCGAGGCACAGGCTATCCAATAAGTTTCTGGACTGCATTGGAGACAACTTTCTGTTTCAGAAGGTTGAAAAAGCTACCAGAGGAGAAGCTGTTCTGGATTTGGTTTTAACAAATAGGGAGGAACTAGTTGAGAACTTGAAAGTGGAAGACAGTATAGGGGACAGTGATCACGAAATAATAGAGTTCATGATCTTAAGGAAAGGTAGAAGGGAGACCAGCACAATTGAGGTAATGGATTTCAGGAAGGCAGATTTTGATAAGCTCAGAGAACTTGTAGGTAAGGTCCCATGGGAAGCAAGACTGAAGGGAAAAACAACTGAGGAGAGTTGGAAGTATTTCAAAGGGACGTTGTTAAGGGCCCAAAAGCAAACAATTCCGCTGTGTAGGAAAGATAGAAAATATGGCAAAAGACCAGCTTGGCTTAACAAGGAGATCTTGCACGATCTCAAAATAAAAAAGGAGTCATATAAAAAATGGAAACTAGGACAACTAACAAAGGATGAATATAGGCAAGCAACACGGGAATGCAGGGGCAAGATTAGAAAGGCAAAGGCACAAAATGAGATCAAACTAGCTACAGGCATAAAGGGAAACAAGAAGACCTTTTATAAATACATTAAAAGCAAGAGGAAGACCAAGGACAGGGTAGGCCCACTGCTTAGCGAGGAGGGAGAAGCAGTAACAGGGAACTTGGAAATGGCGGAGATGCTCAATGACTTCTTTGTTTCGGTCTTCACCGAGAAGTCTGGAGGTGTGCCTAACGTAGTGAATACAAGCAGAGAGAGGGTAAGTTTAGAAGATAGGATACACAAAGAACAAGTTAAAAATCACTTAGGAAAGTTAGATGTCAGCAAGTCACCAGGTCCTGATGAAATGCATCCCAGGATACTCAAGGAGCTGATAGAGGAGGTATCTGAGCCTTTAGCTATGATCTTTGAAAAATCATGGCAGACAGGGGAGATTCCAGAAGACTGGAAAAGGGCAAATATTGTGCCCATCTATAAAAAGGGGAATAAGAACAACCCAGGAAACTACAGACCGGTCAGTTTAACGTCTGTCCCAGGGAAGATAATGGAGCAGGTAATTAAGGAAATCATATGCAAACACTTGGAAGGTAATAAAGTGATAGGGAATAGCCAGCATGGGTTTGTGAAGAACAAGTCATGCCAAACTAATCTGATAGCTTTCTTTGATAAGATAACGAGCCTTGTGGATAAGGGAGAAGCGGTGGATGTCATATACCTAGACTTTAGTAAGGCATTTGATACGGTCTCGCATGATATTCTTATTGATAAACTAGGCAAATATAACTTAGATAGGGCCACGATAAGGTGGGTGCATAATTGGCTGGATAACCGTAGTCAGAGAGTTGTTGTTAACGGTTCTAAATCCTGCTGGAAAGGGATAACAAGTGGAGTTCCTCAAGGGTCTGTTTTGGGACCCATACTGTTCAACATCTTCATCAATGATGTAGATATTGGGATAGAGAGTACGCTTATTAAGTTTGCAGATGATACCAAACTGGGTGGGGTTGCAACTTCTTTGGAGGATAGGGACATAATTCAAAATGACCTTAGCAAGTTAGAGAAATGGTCAGAGGTAAACAGGATGAGGTTTAATAAAGAGAAATGCAAAGTGCTCCACTTAGGAAGGAACAATCAGTTCCATACATACAAGATGGGAAGCGACTGTCTAGGAAGGAGCATGGCAGAAAGGGATCTAGGGGTCATAGTGGACCACAAGTTGAATATGAGTCAACAGTGTGATGCTGTTGCAAAAAAAGCAAATATGATTCTAGGTTGTATCAACAGGTGTGTTGTAAGCAAAACTCGTGAAGTCATTCTGCCGCTCTACTCTGCACTAGTTAGGCCTCAGCTGGAGTACTGTGTCCAGTTCTGGGCGCCACATTTCAAGAAAGATGTGGAGAAATTGGAAAGGGTACAGAGAAGAGCAACAAGAATGATTAAAGGTTTAGAGAACATGACCTATGAAGCCAGGCTTCATGAACTGGGCTTGTTTAGTTTGGAAAAAAGAAGATTAAGGGGGGACATGATAGCGGTTTTCAAATATCTAAAAGGGTGTCACAAGGAGGAAGGAGAAAATTTGTTCCTCTTGGTTTCTGAGGACAGGACAAGGAGTAATGGGCTTAAAGTGCAGCAGGGGAGGTTTAGATTGGACATTAGGAAAAAATTCCTAACTGTCAGGGTGGTCAAATATTGGAATAAATTGCCAAGGGAGGTGGTGGAATCTCCCTCTCTGGAGATATTTAAGAACAGGTTAGATAGACATCTGTCAGGGATGGTGTAGACAGAGCTTGATCCTGCCTTGAGGGCGGGGGGCTGGACTCGATGACCTCTTGAGGTCCCTTCCAGTCCTATTATTCTATGATTCTATGAAAAGCATGAGTGGCGTGGAGAGGGTGCATAAAGAAAAGTTCTTCTTGCCAGGTCGCCACAGAGCCATGCGACAGAGATCACTGCAGACCGCCACAGCGCTGGCCCGTTCGCACTCTGGCTGGGCAACTAGAGCGACGAGGTGCTGTCTTCCTAGCTAGCGCTGCCTGCTCTCCTCAGCCAGGGCGCTCCCGGTTCTGCTTTACGCCTGTCCCCTTTCCTCCTGCAAACAGTTTGTTTCCTCAGCCTTTCAGCAGACTGGAGGGCCCGAAGCCACTCACCTTTTGTGCTTGGCCGCCTGGTCAAAGCCCTGGGCTGCAACGCAGTTTGCAAAGGTGTCGAAGTACCTGTCAGTCAGGAGAAAGAGAGGCCCGAGTTTGGGTCAATGTGTAGCTTACAGGTTCAAAAGGCCCAGGGAGAATCTTGCGGCTCATTTGAAAAGCCTCTTGTGTCTGTCACCTTTTTTCTCCGGGCGTCAGAGATGGAAACTAAGCCCTGAGACTATCTCCTCCCCCCCATGTTCCCTACATCAGTGTTTCTCAAGCTTTTCTTTTTATAAAGTACCCCCCTTTTTAAAAATTAGAAGTATCCCTCGTATCTACAGTTTTCAAACACAAACAATTTTTTCCTACCATTGCAACACATTTATTTAAACAACTTAATCGTAGCCGGGAGGATGATGAAATATTTGGGTATGAAAAGTACAAAAATAATAAAGCACAGTAAAACTTACAACAAAAATTCAGTTTTCTCCAAATTTCAGCTGTGTCGATGTACCCTCCCCAGACTTCTCTTGAGTACCCCTAAGGTTACTCGTACCACTGGTTGAGAAACCCTGCCCTATATTATGCCTTGTCTAAATTCCTTTGGGAGATTATTAGTGGAGAACATCCCCCACCAGGCTGCTTACCAAGAAAGTAGTTTCAGACCCACTTTACTCATGACAGCCCTGGAAGATTTGTCTGCTGGGATTGAACCCCAGATCTGTGATCTAAACCTACGGGTCTCTGCTTTGGTATGGTTCAGAAAAGGGCAACACAAACGATGAGGGGTTTGGAATGGCTGCTCTATGAAGAGAGATTAAAAAGACTGGGAGTTTTCAGCTTAGAAAAAGGGGGACTAAGTGGAGGTCTATACAGTCATGACAGGCATGGAGAAAGTGAATAAGGAAAGGTTATTTGTTTATTCCCATGACAAAAACTAGGGGTTATCAAATTAAATGAATGGGGCAGCAGGTTTAAAACAATCAAAAGGAAGTTTTTTTTTCACACAGCATACAGTGAACCTGTGGAACTCCTTGCCGGAGTAACGGTTCCCAGATTTTAACAGTGTTTATCACACACCAGAGCCCAATCCTGAAAACACTCCTGCATAGGAGTAATCGCTTTGACTCTTGTTGCATTCAAATGGCTGTCACATGTAACTTTTTCTACTCAGGCCCCAGTGAGGTCTGCTTGCTTCACCTCTTCGCTGTTCTCCCCCTCCTCTGCCAACACAGAATCTGTACTTAAGTCCTCCCATCCTGATCCTAAACAACCTGGCTGTCTCTACACTGGCACCCTTTTCTGGAAAAGGATGCAGATTAGCCAAGTCGGAATTGCAAATGCAGTGGGGATTTAAATTTTCCCCGCTGCATTTGCATGAGCATGGCTGCCACTTTTTTCTGGCTCCGGGCTTTGCCGGGAAAAAGAGGAAAATAAAGCCTTTTCCAGAAGATCCCTTATTCCTGATTTTAACACATGGATGGAAAAAATCTGATGGTGGACGGAAAAATGAGGGGGAACATTGATCCCCCACCCTCCATCCCTTTCAAAATCCAAATATCGGTGTGCATCAGAAGACAAGTGTCACTCTTAAACCTCTCAGAAGAAATCACAGGGCACAGCAAGAGAAAGAACAACAACTCACGATCCTAGGTGTACGCCAGTTGCCTGCGCCGCAGAGTTTTTGTACTTACTGGATGTAGCTGCTGAGGAAGAGGTCTTCCTTCCACAGGATGTAGAGGTCTTGGAGGCAGAGGGACACGGAGATGCTGACCTTCTGTTTCAGGGCCCGGTAGTTTTCTTCTGTCAGGTCCCAGAGCGTGTGGAAATGGTCGTTCAATAGCAGCAACAATTTCGAGTGACCCTTTCCTTTCTGCTCACTGCGCTCTGTGAAAGAGGCGAAGAAGAGATGACAGCCCAGGGTCAGAGTAGGACAGACATGCAGGTCTCAAGAAGTCTTCCAGCCCAGTCCCCCTCCCTGAGGCAGGATCTGATGATGGTGCCCAAGGAGTCTCTGGGAGACATATGTTACAGGGCATGGTTTGGTACTAGAAGGGGTACCCGATGTAGCTCGGGTCCTTAACCCAATTCATTTTTGGAGATTTTTTTTTTGGAAAACGCAATAAAAATCGACCGGCTGCATTTGAATCCTTGCTCTGGGGCGGGGCCGGGGAGGAGGGGTTCAATATGGAGGCTGCCAGGGACAGGGGACAACCTCAGCCCTCTCTCACTGCAACAGGTTGGGGTCTGGTGAGAAGCACCTCTCCATGGTTACTGCGGCCATGGGGAGGGGTGTATGCCCTGTGGGGAGGCTGGTCCTGGTTCATCTGCCCCCTGCTGTCCCCAGCCAGAGTGAGGAATGCAGCAAACTGGGCACTTTCCCCTCGCTCCCTGACTGAGGGACACAGCAAGCAATCCGGCTAGGGAAGCGTCAGCTCCCGCTGCCCTCTCTAAACACCCCCTGGGCGGTGGGGGGCTCAGGGCTGGGGCAATCCCAGACTGGGGAGAGGGGTGCCCTGCGCCAGCTCCTTTCATTTGCCCCTTTCACCTGCCTGGTGATTCAGTCTCTTTGCTGTCTGGTTTTCTGGGAAGCAATCCCATTCCAGGCCCAGCCCATTGGCCTGGCACAACCAACCTTGCTTTATGTCAGGGCTACTCAAGTTTGGAAGTCCCGGGGGCTACAAGGATACTCACAGCACATGCCGAGGGCCACAGCTTAAGTGTGGTTGCATAGACATGCAAATATGTATGCAATTATATGCAAATAGCGTCGTTCCCGCTAACGGGCATGAATACTACAATTAAGGCAGGCCTCGTTTGTGTCATTTCGGCTGATATTAATAAAACGCAATATTGACCCGACTTCCACCCATATGACAGCACTTTTAATGAGCAATGACAGTCCAGGAAATTAACTACTAAAATGCATAGCAACAAAAGACCATTATATTGCCTTCTTTTTTGTTTTGGCTCCCACCCGCGGGTCGCGTGTTGAGCCCCGCGTAAACCTAAACCGCACCGTGGGCCGCAAACAAACGGGCCGCAGGCCACACGCTGTGTGTTTAGTAGCCCTGCTGTAAGTTATGAGAAGAGGAAGCTGCCTACCAAAATTGGAGGTCCTAGTCCTTTCCGCTTCGGAGGAGTTCTTGGACAGACAGACAGGCAGTCAGGCAGACTGCCTCAAATATATAATCATAGAATCATAGAATAATAGGACTGGAAGGGACCTCGAGAGGTCATCGAGTCCAGCCCCCCGCCCTCAAGGCAGGATCAAGCTCCGTCTACACCATCCCTGACAGATGTCTATCTAACCTGTTCTTAAATATCTCCAGAGAGGGAGATTCCACCACCTCCCTTGGCAATTTATTCCAATATTTGACCACCCTGACAGTTAGGAATTTTTTCCTAATGTCCAATCTAAACCTCCCCTGCTGCACTTTAAGCCCATTACTCCTTGTCCTGTCCTCAGAAACCAAGAGGAACAAATTTTCTCCTTCCTCCTTGTGACACCCTTTTAGATATTTAAATGGGTTGCATTTCCTCAATAGACCCATGGACAGTGCCTCTGCGATATCCCACAGAGAGCAGGGCGGGTGGTTAGCTTGCCTAAGCCCTTTTTGTTATCTCCTCAGCGTCACTGACTTCTATGGAGCAGCACTGATACACCCCTTTCCCCCGCCTAAGGATCGGGTGCTACCACTTCTCGCAGCGGGGTAGCCGTCCTTATCAAGGGCCTAACGCAGAGGGGACACAGCAATTGAATGAGTTAAACACAGGAGGGGGAAGAAGGGTTAGAACACCACTCGTCTAGGCCAGAAAAAAAACAACAACTCGCAAGATGGAAGGGTTTGGTTTTCAACACCGGGGATCCAACAGGAAAGGCTCCCCGCTTGCAATCTACTCTGGACCTGCCTCGGTTCTCACACCGGTTAGAACCTGGATTATCTGTGGTAGAAGCAAGGAAACTGCCCTCGGGGGTGCGATCTTATGTCTAGAGGAGAGACATAAGTCCTGGCTTGACAAAGCCCTGGCTGGGTTGATTTAGTTGGGATTGGTCCTGCCTAGGGTAGGGGGCTGGACTTGATGGCCTTCTGAGATCTCTTCCAGCTCTATGGTTCTATGATTCTATGACCACACTCAACCCTCGGCAGCATGGCCTAGGGGAGCACCTCTCGCATGGGATTCAATAGCAGTGGAGAGAGCAAGGCAAGTAGGGTGTGGACACAGCTGAAGGGTGTGAGTATTACCCTGAGTAGATACCCTACACACGACTCTCTCCTCACCCCCCGTTGCATTCCCATCTACACGGCTATTTTAGTCGTGTTCTACCATCCCCCAGCAGCTGGTGCCCTTCCTCCTCAGCTGGTGCCCTCTTCCCCTCATTTCCCCAGTCAAGAACGCCTTCCAATACGCCTGCCTCAGTCCGTTCTGTGCCGTAGACACCTGTAACCGTGAAGGCCTAAGGGCCCCACCCATCAGATGCCAGGAAGTAGAGATTCTGTGGGCTTACCCGCCTGGAGCAGGGGCTTGAGAACGATGGTGTCGATCCGGGCCAGACATGCTAAGAAGGTTTCTTCTGTCCGTAGGAGCGATTCTGCCGCTTCGGTGGCCCACATGTCCTAGGGGCAAACAAAGTTGCACGGTCGAGAACGCTACTTGTGCTTGGCGCTGCGCACGCCGCGAGAGACGCTCCCTGCCCAAACGAGCAATGTAAATAGGTAAAGGGAGGGGAGGAACTGGAGGCACAAAGGAGGTGAGGTGACTTGACCAAGGCCACACGGCAAGATCAGTGGCAGAGCTTGATGCACAGCCCAGTTTCCCGCCTCCAAACATGGATCCTCAGACCCCTGCCTTTGTCAATGGACCATGCTGCCTCTTTCCACGACCTCAACCAGCATCGGAGCTTTCAGAAGGCTTTGAGCTTTTCTAACACTGAATTCATTCTCCAAGTGCAGATTAGCTTTCCAGAAGGAAGTCCATGTATGCCCAAAGAAAATGCAGCAAAGAAATGGTCGGTTTAAACGTCTGCCACCAATAGCTTCAGGCCACTGAGCTTCAATTCACCACCTCTGCCAGTAAAATACTTTGTACGCGGCCACCCAGCCATCCACCACACGAGCTGTTCAGACCACATCCAAGGGAGCAATCTGATTGCACTGGCAGTGTTTGGACAGTCCGGTTCCATCCGTCCCCGTTGCTGTACAAATGCAAAGCGTCACGGAAACGCTTGTGTCATCGTGCTGGCGTTCACGTGAACAGGCCAGCCCTTGAATCCCGATTGCTTCCTCTTTAAACAGAAAGGGGGGAAAATCTGCGAACCCATGTGCTGCTAGCTGCTGTCAGAAAGAACCGCAGTGCAAAGAACCCAAGCAGTGAAGAAAATGAAAAGCATGGTGCATGTGGTTTGGAGCCACTGCTCATATCAACATGCCACTGTAAGCAAGATTACAAAACAAGATTGTTTTCTGAGGTTCTCTGTGACAGCTGAGGTCACTTCACTTCCCTAAATTACAGGGTTAGGAAACTGGGTAGCATTGGAGGTCATGCACCCAGTGTGAATGCCTGAAAAAGCTGGCTCACACAAGCATGTGGGGGGTCGATCCCTCCATTGGAGGGTTGATCCCTCCACTTCAAAGGGGCAGCCATGGAGCCTGGGATCAACTGAGGACTCCGCATCTGTTTCCGGGTGCCGCACGGCATTTCCCCAGAACCTGGGTCAGTACTCTAGGTTCCATGGTTTTGAAATGCACAAAGGGCCCCGCTGCAGACTCTTGTACATTTCAAAGCAGGCAACTGCGTGAAGCGCAAAGTCAGCTGGACTTCTTTCTGGCCCCGGGTGGTATGCGGAGTTCCGCATTCCTCCTTTGAAATGTACAAGAGCCCCAGAGGGGCTCCATTTCAAAGGAGGAATGCGAAAGTGCTTATCGACTAGTCGAGTAGTTGCTGGAAATTCCATCAACTATTCGACTCGTCAATTAACCACTTTTTAACATCCCTATTCCAGACTGCACACACGTTGGGGACTAATGAACCTCAATTTGGCCGTGAAAAATGTCACAAGGACAGCAAGGAGACTGTAGTTTAAACATTTTTGGTTTTATGTACATTTATTCCACTGCCTCTGTCTGTGAAGATGAACATCCTACTCATGTAGATCTCCTACATGGCCCCTATTATCACAATATGACCACCATGTGATGATAAATTCAACATCTTAGTCTCACAGGGTTGGAGGAGACCTCAGGAGTCATTGAGTCCAGCCCCCTGCCCGAAGCAGGACCAACCCCAACTCAATCATCCCAGCCAGGGCTTTGTCAAGTCCAGACTTCAAAAACTCTAGGGATGGAGATTCCACCCCCTCCTGAGGGAACCCATCCGAGTGCTTCACCATCCTCCTAGTATCTCCATGAACTTGGAAAATATTATTATTCCCATTTTACAGAGTGGCAAAGAAACTAAGAGCCAGCCATCTAAAGGTGTTTAGGTGCAGTTGAAAATTTCCCTAAGTGCTCAAACAGGTTCATTCCCAGCTAAGCGCCACTGAACATCAATTAGACATCCATCATTTTCTTTAGGTCTTGTGACAATCTCGTCTCAACTGCTCGGCTAAGATCACAGTCAGCTTTGGTAGAGCATGGAATTGAACCCAGCGCTCCAAAATCCCAAGCTAATCGCTGCATCAAAGCCCTTGAGTGCTTTGTAACTTTCGGAAGAAGTGCTTTACTTAATCCGGATTAGCTTGCAAAATAGCTGGTGTATGCCTGTTTACTTTTCCTTGTAATTTGGTATGGCTGTGGCAAGCAGTCTGCTAGATCCACAGAGAACACAAAGGCTGAAATCTGACCTTTTGAAAGGGACAGAAATTTCCGATTTTTGAGGAAAAGGCACTTTTCAAACCAGCTCTGCTCTGCATGCTTTGTTCTCCACCATCTCTCACCCCAGACTCCCTCCCACATTCCTAATCCCAGGCACATTTCTGATCCACGCCGCTAGCATTTTTGTTTCCAAAGAGCATAAGAAAAGCCGCACTGGCTCAGACCAAAGGTCCATGCAGCCCAGTATCTTGTCTGCTGACAGTGCCCAGTGCCAGGTGCCCCAGAGGGAATGAACAGAACAGTTACCATCAATGATCCATCCCCTTTAGCCCATTCTCAGCTTCTGACCAAAAAAAAAAGGCCTAGGGGTTACATTCCTGCCAATCCTAGCTAATAGACATTGATGGACCTGTCCTCCATGAATTTATTTAGCTCTTTTTTGAACCCTGTTATAGTCTTGGCCTTCTCAACATCCTCTGGCGAGGAGTTCCACAGGTTGACTGTGCTCTTCATGAAGAACTTCCTTTTGTTTCTTCAGGGGGTAGCCGAGTTAGTCTGTACAGGATAAACTTTAGAAAACAACAAATAGTCTGGTAGCACTTTAAAGACTGACAACACATGTCGATGGTATCATGAGCATTCGTGGGCACCGCCCTCTTGTTTGCTACCTAGTAATTTCATTTGGTGACGCCTAGTTCTTGTGTTATAGGAAAGGAATAAATAGCTCCTCTTTCTTATTTTCTCCACACCAGTCATGATTGTACAGACTTCTCTCATATCCCCCCTTAGTCATCAAACAAGAAAGTCCAAGTGTTTCATTGGAAGGCTACCTACTAATTTCAGTTCTCAGATTCACAGCCATGTGTTGATGTCACTTATTAAGTAATCCAGCATTCAGTAGACATTTCAAGCAGCATTTGATGCAACATACAGGATATGTGAGCTTGCTTTGCCGCATGATCTACTGACGCATCATGAAGTAAAGGCAGAATTTCCACTTGATTTCCCTGTTCTGTTGGCTCAAGCCCAGACATAAGAAGATAAGAACGGCCAGACTGGGTCAGACCAAAGGTCCACTTAGCCCATCATCCTCTCTTCCAACAGTGGCCAATGACAGATGCCCTAGAGCAGTGTTTCCCAATTGGTGCTCCGCGAAACCCTGGGGTTCTGCAAAGTGAAAGTAAGGGTTCTGCGAGAATGAGGCACTCCCCCCCTTTTAAAGAGACAGAGTCTATTTTGCAGCTTTTTATTTATTTATTTATTGCTTGACCGATTCTGGTGGGTCTTTTTTTTTTTTCCCCCGTTTTTCCCTGGCAACCCTAGGGGTTCCTTGAAATTCTTTTAAGTTGAAAAGGGTTCCGTGGCCAAATAAAATTGGGAAACACTGCCCCAGAGGGAGGGAACACAACAGGGAATCCTCACATAACCCCTCCCCTGTCACCCACCTCCAGAGAAACAGAGTCTAGAGACACCATTCCTACTCATTCTGGCTAATAGCCATGGATGGACCTAACTTCCATGAATCTATCTAGCTCTTTTTGAACCCTGTTAAAGACCTAGCCTTCACCATATCCTCAGGCAAGGAGTTCCACAGGTTGACTGTGTCCTGAGTGAAGAAAAACATCCTTTTATTTGTCTTAAACCTGCTGCTTCTTCATTTCATTTGGTGACCCCTAGTTCTTATATTGTGGGAAAAAGTAAATAACTTTTCTTTATTCACTTTTTCTACACCAGACATGATTTTATAGACCTCTATCCTATCCCCCCTTAGTCTCCTCTTCTCTAAGCTGAAAAGCCCCAGGATTTTTAATCTCTCTTCATATGGGACCCATTCCAAACATAAGAACATGAGAATGGCCAGACTGGCGTTGTGTCCAGACTACAGGGTTTTGTCGACAAAAGTGGCCTTTTGTCGATAAAACTATACCTGTGTCTACACTACCGCCATGTTCTGTTGACAGTAAGTCAACAGAATGCGGAAGTTTTGTCAATAGTGGTAAACCTCGTTGAAATCCTTTAACTGTTGTGTCCAGCAGACATGCCTCGTTCTCCAGGTTTTAAAAGGTTTCTGACATGTAAAATACTGGTATCAATTTTTAACAGCCACCCTGTGTGTCTGTTGTCTCAGTGAGGGATACTTTACCAGTAAGTGCCCTCACTTTAGAAATTTGCTGCTAGGACCAGAAAGGCAAGAGAGCTTCAACTCAAGCATCTATTAATAGAGAAGTCCATGTGGCTGGCATCTGATCCAGAGCCCTCTCAAAAAAGCAGCTTGCTTTTTCGACAATACTGATCATAGTCTAGACACTCTTTTTCAACAGAGGCTTTAGTATCTGTCCACAAAGCCTCTGTCGAAAAAGGCGTGCAGTTTAGACATAGCCTGGGTCAGGCCAAAGGTTCCTCTAGCCTAGTATCCTGTCTTCCAACAGTGGACAAAGCCAAATGTCCCAGAGGGAATGAACAGAACAGGGAATTATCACATGATCACTCCCCTGTCACCCATTCCCAGCCTCTGACAAACAGAGGCTAGAGATGCCATTCCTACCCATCCTGGCTAATAGCCATTGATGGACCTAGCCTTCATGATTTATCTGGTTCTTTTTTGAACCCTCTTATAAACGTGGCCTTCACAATATCTCCTGGCGAGGAGTTCCACAGGTTGACTGTGCACTGAGTGAAAAAAAACTTCTTTTTGTCTGTTTTAAACCTTCTACCTGTTCATTGCATTTGGTGACCCCATGTTCTTACATTATAAAAACAAGTACATCACTTTTCCTTATTCACTTTCTCCACATTTGTCATGA